GGTTATTCACAGACACTTTTTGGGCTTGAAACAGAGAAGCCCCTTATTGGTTTTGATATGGGTGGTACGTCTACAGATGTGAGCCGTTATGCTGGGAGTTATGAACAGGTGCTTGAAACCCAGATTGCCGGTGCCATTATACAAGCACCTCAACTTGACATAAGCACTGTCGCTGCTGGTGGTGGATCAAAGTTGAAATTCCAATTTGGATCTTTCCGGGTAGGACCAGAGTCAGTGGGTGCACACCCAGGCCCAGTTTGTTATCGTAAAGGTGGGGAATTGGCAGTTACTGATGCTAACCTCGTTCTAGGATTTGTCATTCCTGATTATTTTCCATCCATTTTTGGCCCCAATGAAGATCAGCCTTTAGATATCAAGGCAACAAGAGAAGAATTTGAGAAGCTTGCTAATCAAATAAACTCCTATAGGAAGAGCCAAGATCCATCAGCTAAGGACATGACAGTGGAAGAGATTGCACTGGGATTTGTGAATGTTGCAAATGAGACTATGTGCCGTCCAATACGGCAGTTGACAGAGATGAAGGGCCATGAAACTAGGAATCATGCTCTTGCTTGCTTTGGAGGTGCTGGCCCACAGCATGCTTGTGCTATTGCCAGGTCGCTGGGCATGAAAGAAGTACTTGTTCACAAGTTCTGTGGGATCTTGAGTGCATATGGCATGGGCTTGGCAGATGTTGTTGAAGAGGCACAAGAGCCATATTCTGCTGTTTATGGCCCTGATTCCATCTTGGAAGCTTCCCATAGAGAAGATATGTTACTGAAGCAGGTAAGGCAGAAGCTGCAGGAGCAAGGGTTCAGAGAGGAGAACATTACAACAGAAGCATATTTAAATTTGCGGCATGAGGGTACAGATACTGCCATCATGGTAAAGAAACATGTCAATGAAGATGGATCAGGGTCTGACTATGCTGTGGAGTTTGTGAAGCTGTTCCAGCAGGAGTATGGATTTAAACTACAGAATAGGAATATTCTTATATGTGATGTTAGAGTTCGTGGTATTGGAGTAACAAACATACTGAAGCCACAAGTCCTGGAACCCACTTCTCTTACCCCAGAAGTGGAAGGCCACTACAAGGTTTACTTTGGGAATGGGTGGCTTGATACCCCTCTATTCAAGCTTGACAATCTGGGTTGTGGGCACATCATACCAGGCCCTGCAATCATCATGAATGGAAATAGCACAGTGGTAGTGGAACCCCAATGCAAGGCTATCATAACTAAATATGGAAACATTAAAATTGAAATTGAGTCTAACACGACCACTGTAAAAGTAGCCAAAAAAGTTGCAGATGTTGTGCTGCTCTCAATTTTCAATAACAGATTTATGGGAATAGCTGAACAAATGGGAAGGACACTACAGAGAACTTCCATATCAACAAATATCAAGGAAAGGCTAGATTTCTCTTGTGCTCTATTTGGCCCTGATGGGGGACTAGTTGCTAATGCCCCCCATGTCCCTGTGCATCTTGGAGCCATGTCCAGTACAGTTAGGTGGCAGCTCAATTATTGGGGGGAAATTTGAATGAAGGTGATGTTTTGGTCACCAACCATCCTAGTGCTGGAGGTAGCCATCTTCCTGACATAACTGTCATCACACCTGTTTTTGATAATGGGAAACTGGTTTTTTTCGTTGCAAGCAGAGGGCATCATGCAGAGATTGGGGGTATTACTCCTGGAAGCATGCCCCCCTTTTCGAAGTCAATATGGGAAGAAGGAGCTGCAATTAAAGCATTTAAGCTGGTAGAGAAGGGGATTTTTCAGGAAGAAGGAATTGTTAACCTTCTCCAATTTCCTGGTTCTGATGAATCAGCTCCTAAAATCCCTGGAACTCGTCGGCTTCAAGACAATTTATCAGATCTAAGTGCTCAAGTAGCTGCAAACCAGAGAGGTATTTCCCTTATCAAAGAATTGATTGAGCAGTATGGTTTGGAAACTGTTCAGGCCTATATGAATTATGTGCAACTAAATGCGGAAGAAGCAGTGAGAGAAATGCTCAAATCAGTTGCTGCTAGAGTTTCATCTCAGTCAGCTAAGTTTGGATTGAATAATGATGTAACTATAGAAGAAGAGGATAGCATGGATGATGGCTCTATAATACATCTGCAACTAACTATTGATTCTATTAAAGGGGAAGCATTTTTCGATTTTAGTGGGACAAGCCCTGAGGTGTATGGGAATTGGAATGCACCAGAAGCAGTAACAGCTGCTGCAGTCATATATTGCCTTAGATGTTTGGTGGATGTCGATATTCCTCTCAACCAAGGTTGTTTAGCTCCAGTTGGAATCCATATTCCTAAAGGCTCATTCCTCTCTCCAAGTGACAAGGCTGCCGTTGTTGGAGGTAATGTTCTCACATCTCAGAGGGTAACTGATGTTGTACTTACTGCCTTTCAGGCCTGTGCTTGTTCTCAGGGATGCATGAATAATCTCACTTTTGGGGACAATACTTTTGGCTATTATGAAACAATTGGAGGTGGAAGTGGGGCTGGTCCTCACTGGGATGGGACAAGTGGAGTCCAGTGCCATATGACCAATACCCGAATGACTGATCCAGAGATTTTTGAGCAGAGGTATCCTGTTCTTTTGCATAAGTTTGGACTAAGAGAGAACAGTGGGGGCTCTGGACTTCGTAAAGGGGGCGATGGGCTTGTAAGAGAGATAGAGTTCAGACGGCCAGTTGTAGTCAGCATTCTTTCAGAAAGGCGTGTACATGCACCAAAAGGTTTGAAAGGGGGAAAGATGGTGCTCGTGGGGCCAATTACCTAATTACAAAAGATAAACGGAGAATTTACCTCGGAGGAAAGAACACCGTTGAGGTGCAGGCTGGGGAAATTCTTCAAATTTTAACTCCTGGAGGTGGTGGGTGGGGTTCTTGTTGATTTTCTGGTGCAAACTGCTGCATTGAGGTGGTGGTGCTGGGTGGATTAGTTGTTGTTGTTTATCAAATGCTGCATTGAGATGACTGTTCCCAGTGCTTGTATGTACCGAGACTATGTTGCTGCTGAAACTTGCTGTAGTCGCTGTGTCCGCTAATGCTGCGTAGCTTCCAGTTCTTCTCAGTTAAACTGCAAGTTGGTTTCATTGCTGTTTCTGCTCCGATCCCAGTTCTGCAGCTCCATTGCTTTTGTAACATTCTGGCAAAATAATAACAATAACTGCTGCATCAGGATCTTCTTTTTCTTTTTTCTCGCCTTTAGTTTGTTTTTTGTTTTTTTCTTGAACTTGCTATTATGCTCTTCTAGATAGTGAAACATTCCAGACTGTTGTGTTGGGAGGTTATGTTGTATCACAGAAATGTTCGATGAAATAATTCATGTTTGCTTTCTTCCTGCTATAGCTTGACGTTTATCTCCCCATCAAAGCAAAAACCACCAAAACTTTTTCTCTCCCAAACACTTGAGACTTTGACAGTTTTTGTTTTTCTATTAACACATGGCTTCATTTGTCGATTTGTTTATTGACCAACTTTGCTGTTTGCTTATTTCAATTCAAAAGCTTTATGACCAGTTTGAGATTCATCAATCTGAAATTATGAAACTGTTAAATAGATGGTCAATCTGAGTCGTCCTGTTGAGAATCCACCATGGTCCATGAAGGAGCTAACTGATAGTCATAGAACTTGTAATTGTTAGTTGAAATTAGAGTATAAAGTTGTCATCTTTTGAGTTCTTTAACATCAGTAACATTTGTGTTCTCTTAAGTCATCTAATTATAGGCACAGTAGGTTTTTTGCATTCGTTTGAGAAAACACTGCAACCTTAATTATAAAAGCAGAGATGGTGAGTTTTTTCTTTTTTTTGGCATCAGTGACTCATAAATTGGTTTTTACTTTGAAATTTGCTTGATCTCAATGGTTTTGAATCAAAACTTAAGTTGAATTCAAATGGTATGCTAACCAGAAGATAATTCAATGCCACCCAAGATGGGCTTTTGCTCAGATAAAACTACACCAGTTAAGGGAATTTTCTGATCAGTGGCTCCCTTTTTCAACCACTGATGTTCATGTTATTTCTTTGACAGCTTCTTAGGACATCATTTTTCATTTTCCTAAATCAGGAAGCATTAAATAAATAGTGTCAAATCTACGTTTTGCACGTGGCATGCTTCATTCCCTTAAAAAATGAGGAAAAAAGGTTGCTTCTTTCTTGAATCAAAGAAAGAGATTGGCTTTGATTTGCTTGACTAACCAAACCGCATGGAGCATCCTATGGCAAAATCCTTCTCTCAACTGCTCTCTTCTCTTCCATCATTTCTAGGTGTTTTGGCCTTTTGTGAAGCTTAGAAAAGATTACAAACTTTCTACTTTTTCCTTTTTCCTTCTTTTTCTACCTTTGTCCTTTTCATAATGATTAGCCAAGTCTAGGAGAAAAAAATGGTGGGGCTTAAGCTCCATTTCAGGCGTGGAAAAGCCAACCTTTTTTTCTACTTCTTCGGCTCTATCTCCTTTGTGCCTCTAAAAAGCAATCTTAAATTGAAGCCCTAGAGGCCACATAAAATCACATCACGTGGAATGCACATGCTACTTAAAGGATTTAAATGAAAAGTAGTTGAAACTTAGGGACCAAAGTTTAAGATGACCCAAAAACACAACTCATACTAGTTTGTTCTATTATTTGTAGTTTAGCAGACAAATAAATGCAACTAAAATGAACCAAAAGAAACAAAAAGCTCAAATGAAAGTTACGAAGACACACCAGAAGAAAGAAAGAAATAAAGAGACAGACTTCCTCTGTCTCTTTCTATGACACCATATGCAATGACCTCAGATTTGTACTGTCTACTTTTACTTCCTCTGTTGTCCCTTTAAAGTAGCAGAAGAAATCTAGCAACCTTTTTCACATGCTTCATTTCACAACCTTAACACCAAACCAAATATCATCTCTGATTGTGTGGTGAAACATGTCAACTTAATGCATTACCTTAACCAGTAGATGATAATGATGATGACGATGATGATGGTGTTCTAAAATCTGCAACTACCTATGCAGGGTAGGAAAACCCATCTTTCAATCTTTTTTTGTAAATTGTAGCTTGGAATGGACAGTTTTTATCTTTGCTTTTATTTCCTTTCGTAAACCCACCCACCACCCATTTCCCTGCAACGTCCAAATCAAACTAAATTTCGTAATCATAACTGATGTTACGGTACATAAATTTCACTGGTAATATTTTAAATAATTGTTGACATGCACATTGCTCAATCTACATGAATTTAAATGTTTTCCTATTTATAGTTATAGGTATTATTGTAGCAACTTGTACGTCGTGGATATCAAATTTACATTCTTGTCTTGTAAAAAGCAAATTATCCACCCTTCTTCCTTCTTTTTAGAAAAAAAAGAAAAAAAGAAGGGAATCTTGACAAAATGGATGAAAGGGAAGAGATCCGAGTAAATAAAAAGAAAAAAATAAAGGATGAATTTTATTTTTACTTTAAAAAGAAATACTATAAAAATAGACATGTTTATGAAATTTTTTATTTAGAAGAGAATAAGAAAATTCAAAGTTAGAAATCTTTTTAAATAAAAAAGATAAAAATTTCGTATGGTTTGAAAAATCTCGTGTAACTATATACACATTGAAACAAAGTATTAAAAAAAAACTAATATGAAAGCATCAACTCAGTTGTAAATGATTTATTTAAGATTTAATTGAGGAAGATTTAATCTCCTTTAGACCAAAAATGACGAAAAGTACATTTATTATTATTTAATTATCAAATAAAATAATATATAAACAAAAAAAATATTTGATCAATAAACAATATGTAGAACGGAGACTCCCATTAATTGTTATGATGAGGGGTGTTTGGATAAATTTAATTATAATCTAAAAGCATAATAATACCAAATAAATATGATTTTATTAAATAAAATGAAATTTATAAAAAGATATAAATTTTTAAATATTATTTTCAAATCAGATTTTAAAATCTATAGAATGATTTGTTGATTCGGCTGTGGGTTGAATTGATGACGTCATGAGTGGTGATTATGACGTTGTTCTTCGGTGAATCCGATGGTTTTAACTAGTTTTGGTGGGGCCCATCGAAAGTCGGATAAGGTGTGTTTAGTGAGAGAATCAAAACTGATACGACGAGAGTTAGTAATTAATTTTGTGAGAGGGTGAGGTTTCTCTACGTGTGCCAGAGTGGGCTCCACCCCGAAAACAGGAACAAATATTTAAAATATAAAAGTCCCTCGTTCATATCGCACCTATCTATATTTCCTATTTTACCCTTGACAGCTTCATAAAATTACAAATACGGGTCCGCAGATTCTGATCAGCGATCCCCGGCCCAAAAAAAAGCATTTTTTATAAGTATTTAAGCGGGCACTTTGACTTAATTTTTTTATTTTTTTTATTTAAGGCTGGACTTTTAACGGCTACTATAATTTATTATTCTTTTGTAAATTGATTTCAAAAAGAATTTTCATAATAAAATCTTGATAATCGATAAAATTAGGATTTTATAAATATAATATTAAATAATTGGTTTTTTTAAAAAAAAAAATAGCAAACTTTGCGTGTATGAAAATTTTGTATGATTTGTTTGTTTGTAGTATTATTCTTTTTTTCTCTCTCTATAATTTACTATTTTATTAAATTACGTAGTTCCTGAAGTTAAATACAAGTTCAAATCTCCACCCACCCAATATATATATATATATATATATATATATATATATACTGTTATTATTCTCTTTGAAAATATTGCATTATTTGACCAACTAATAAAAAAATATCAAAATGATGACAACAATTTTGTTTTTATATATTTTGAATGTCAGTTTGATTTGATTTTTATTGACGGCTGTATTTTATGATAATATTTTTAAAAGAAAACAATTAATTATTGCCGTGAAAAAAAGTGTGGGCTTGACGATTTTTCAATTACAGTTATTAGAAAGGGGACCGACGGATCATGGGATGGGATCTAGTCTACAATCCCACCAATTTTTACCGTTGACTAATGCATAGTTTTGTCAAATTAATCAAATTATAAGAACACAGACAGTGGGGAAGAAAAAATACCATGGACCAGATCCAGTTCATGGATGGGAAGGGGGAGGCATAATGACCTCTTCGATTTTTTTTTGTCCTTTTCTTATAACAATATTTTAGAGTAAATTATAAATCAATCCCTCTTATTTAGAAAAAAAGAATTAATTAGTTTATTTTCTTTTAAAACCTAATCATTTAATGTTTTATGTTTTAATTTCATTAATAAATTAGTCATTTCATTGGTTTTCAATTAAATTAGTGATTTTTATTCTCAAATTGTTTTTTTTTTAATTGAAGATAGAAAAAAATAGTGGATAAAATAGAGAAATAAGATATCAAATGAATGGTAATTTGAAAAAAAAACACTGATCTATCAAAAAATTAAAGAAAAAATTAAGTTATTGATGAAATTAAAACATAAAAGATTAAATAATTAATTTTTAAAACAATAAAAAACAAGATACGAGGCTCTAGAAAAGGAAAGAGAACAACCAACCACCTTCCTCCGTAATTGTTGCAGGCACTGGGCTCCAATCTGAGCCTAATTAATTCATTTCTTGAAATGAGATGTGCTAATTTATAATTTATTTTAATATTTTATAACCAATTTTCCTGTGTCAAGATTAAGTTTATAATTTTGTCAAATTATTTGAATTATAAGAACACAAACAGCGTGGAAAAAAAAATACCATGGACCAGATCCATGGTCCATGGATGGGAAGGGGAAGACATAATGACCTCTTCGATCTGTTTCCTTTTCTTATAACAATGTTTCAGAATAAATTATAAATTAATCCATGTCGTTTAGAAAAAAAAAAATCAGTTCCTTTTCTTTTAAAACATAATCATTTAGTATTTTATGTTTTAATTTCATTAATAAATTAGTCATTTTATTGATTTTCTATTAGATTAGTAATTTTTATTCTCAAATTATTTTTTTTTCAATTGAAAAGAGAGAAAAATAGTGGATAAAATAGAGAAACAAGATATCAAATGAAGGACAATTTGAAAAAAAAATCACTAATTTATCAAAAAATTGATGAAAAAATTAAGTTATTGACGAAATTAAAACATAAAAGATTAAACAATTAATTTAAAAAAATAAAAAAATAATTAATTCATTTCTCGAAATAAGAGGGATTAATTTATAATTTACTTTAACATTTTAGAACCAATTTCGTGTATCAAGATTAAATTTATAATTATTTTTAGCAAGATATTATCACTGGATATATATCATCCTTTGAATTTGAATATTGAGTTATAATATAGAGGAAAAAACTACTAATCATTTACGTACAAATGCTAATTTTGTTGCAACGCAAGAAGTTAGTGGATGAAGTTGAAAAATGGATGTGTAATGTAAAACATGTATCAAGTATTGTGGATTTGAATTCAATAAATTCGTTTTTTATCATGGGGTTAAAATATTATAAAAGGTTGGTGAACCTTTATGGGTTGAATTTAATAATTTATTTATATTGATATGGTATTTGTATGACAAAATTTATTCAAACTCGACATTTTTAATGCTTTTGATCCATACAAAATTCTTTAGAATGAAACATGCATGCTTTCGAGAATGATTCATTGTCTTCTTGAATCCAAATAAAGCATTCATCAAGTCATTTTCCAATAAATTAAAGCATTAATGCACTTATTGCCATTCTCAAGAAAACCATTGAAACTACCTCATATAATTCAAAAATGGGTGATGGAAAAAATGGAACACAACAAGTAATTTTCTCATAATCATGGCTCGTTTGGAAGTGATTTTGGCAAGTTTGCCATTTGGGAGCATCAATTCATAAACTTATAGCATCTTATAAAAAAGGAGAATACTCTCCATCATTACATAGTTGAAACGTGTACATCTTTTCATTTAAAGGAAAGAGGAAAAAGAAAAATAAAAATAAAAGATAAATAGCTTAATTTATTTTTACAAATAAAAAAAAATTTCAATTTATTTTTAATTGTATATATTGTATTTTTTAAATAATATTTAAGTTTCAATCTATCATTTTTAATCAATTTTTTGATCATCACTAATTTTTTTCATTGAAATGCCTATAACTAAAAAAAAATTACTTAAAATCACATGACTTGTTTTTTTTATTTTTAAAGTTTTTAATTTTTTTATATTTTATTCAGAAATATTTCGATAAAATTTTTTTTTATAGTGGAAAACATTAATCGAAATTACATCTTAAAAAATGAACGGCATCTAAAGATATAATAGATTATTAAATACTTAAACCTTTGTCAAACAAGAATAAAAGTAAAGTCCGGAGGTTCAATTAAAATTTATCAAAAAAACATATTAATATAGGATGCAATTGATAAATATGTCAAATTACAGGGACTAGTTTTACAAAGCATCCAATAATTCTGAATTGTATAAAATTCAATAAATCTGACAATTATTCATAAGGTAATCAAAATCTTCTTGTTAATCCACAGTCAATGCAGTAATACCAATAATGGCATTCCTGGTAAATTAATTACCAAAAAAGCCCAAATACCAAACCCGAAATATCTACGTGTCCTTTAACACCAGAGACACCCTCTCTGATCCTCTCCTTCAAAAACCCGACCCGCCATCTCCTCTCTCTCGCTTCGCTTCCGGTTGAAAATTGAGACTCCGTTTCTGTCGCTCCATCAAAACCGCTGCCCTTTCAATCATGGACGAGAATTCAGCTCTTATAGCACAACTTCTCATGGAAGACGAAATAGAAATGAGAAACCGTAACGGTAACGCTAGCGGTAGCGATTACGTTAAGGATCAGAAAGACGGCGGATGGCAAACAGTTACGTATTCAAAACGGAACAAGAAACAGCAAATCTCGAAACTCTCGCACGCGCCGGAGAATTCTTCCTCCGATCACCGGCGATCTAACGGCGTTGGCGGCGCGGAAGTTGATGTGTTTCGGTCGATTGAGCAGCATTCGGAGGATCGGGTTCGGAGGATTGCGGAGGAGCGGCGGAGGAGAGAGGAGGTGGAGAGTGGCGAGAGAGATGGATCGAAGCGGCATTCTGATGAGGATGATGGCGAGAGTGACGATGGAGGTCGTGGTGGAGATGGTGGAGCTGGAGAGCAAGTGAAGAAGGTGAAGAAACCTAAGGTGAAGAAACCAAAAGTGACGGTGGCGGAGGCGGCTGCGAAGATCGATGCCGGTGATCTAGGCGCTTTTCTTGTTGACATCACAGTAAGCATTTAATTACTTAATTTAATTAATCCGCACATGATTTATTTATTTATTTAATGATTCTCAATTTTTTGTGATGTCGTTTTGGTGGATTTAGGCGTCGTATGAGACACAGCAGGATATACTGTTAATGAGATTTGCTGATTACTTTGGAAGAGCATTTTCATCAGTGAGTTCAGCTCAATTTCCTTGGTTAAAAATCTTCAAGGAATCCCCTGTTACCAAATTGGTTGACGTAAGTTTTTTTTTTTTCAATTTTTTATCAGTCTAATTGTGATTTAGGAAGAAGTATTTTTTATTACGTGAAAAATAATACTGTTAACGTAGTATTTTTTTCCTTTAAATGTTGGATTTTTATGGGAAAAGTATCAATGGGTATGAAAGATTTAAGATATAATGGTATGGTTAGTCTTCGTTTGTTTGTTCTGATTTAGGGTATATCTGTGTTAAGATGATAAGGTACTGACATTTTGCAATTTGCCTATCTGATGATCTAAGATGGATCGATCTGAATTGATTCACTTACGTTGTTCGACGACAACAAGTTTAAGTGTGTTGGATTTGATTTGAATGAATTTTGTATGTTATTATCGTTTCTGACATTTTATTTTTGTTTGTTGCTTTTGCGAGCAGATCCCTCTTGCGCACATCTCTCAAGATGTTTACAAGACGGCAGTTGATTGGCTTGGCCAGCGATCTCTTGAAGCACTTGGGTCCTTTGTGTTATGGTCATTGGATAGCATTTTTGCTGACTTTGCAAGTCATCAAGGAGTTGCGAAGGGATCCAAAAAGGTGGTCCAGCAATCACCAGCTAAGTCTCAGGTAGGCTTCATGAATATCTATTCCTATATGACTTCTAAATATTTCTATGCTAGTCAATTCTTTCATTCAAGTTTTTTTTTGCCCCCTGTTGCCATGTTTGGTTTATACTTGCATGCAGTGCTTTAATTTCTGTATTATAGGTGAAAAGAATTTAACTAGTGCTATGAGAGTTTTATGTTTACAAAGAGCTGTGATTAGTAGACGTTCATTTACTGGATCGCAGCATTAGCATTAAACCCACAACTTTTGTATCTGAGGTGGTCGTCTGCTGGTCAAATCCTCTATTTTTTGCCATTTTGTCACTATAGGGTCCTTAGGTTCCTGTGTTTCTTCTTGCAGAAATTGGAGCTTTGAGAACTACTAAGAGTAGTAAAAATTGCAGTTTTCATTTTTGGATATGCTTATTAATCATGTCAGACGAATTTGTTGTGTTCAAATTTTGATAGGGAGAATTCTAAGACATATTGTGCTTATCCGAGGTAATTATTATTTCTGATTGAACTCCATCAGACTTGAAAGCAGGGATTGATATAGTATTTGGCAAAACTACAACAGTTCAACCTCGTTTTGCATGTATATCTTCCAAATACATGCTTGGTCATCGCCAAAGCTTTGTGCTTCATTAGCATTGTCTTTGGTTGAATTAAATGCTCAAAATCTGTTACTCCACTAAATAAAATAATAAATTCAGTAAAAATAATGTAGCTGTCAATTGGAATTTGCTAAATGATCATAAACAGAAATTTTAGTTATGGCTACACAACCAAACCTGTAAAACGTAGGTAAATTCATGCAAAAACCCCATGGTTGGTTTGACGAAAGGGAGGACTCATTGGTGCAAATTGGTTAACCAACCATCAAAAAGCACTACCTCAGCAAGGACTGTTGCACCAATGGCCATCAAATTGATGCACCTAGTTGCGCAATCCCATGTAGACAGAAAATGTAGTTTTATACACTGAGTTTACATTAAAAACGTGAATATGAGTTTTATGTCCTCAAATTCGTTTTTTCTTCCTTCTCGTGAACAACCATTTCTTTCTGGAACCTTTTTGGCCTTTCCAAGTTTATCTGACAAAATTTTGCTGAATTTGCATTTTCTTATTTATAATGAATCTTTTAGTCTTATTTTCATTTTTCTATTCTTTTTGCTCATCAAATGTAGAACTACTGCATGTTAAGAAGGCAATAAGTCATGAAATACTGCTGCTTTTCTTCCTAAACGAGAGATCATTCTTTCCAATACATTATGCAATACTTGTTAACAGATACTGCTGCCAATCGCAGACTTGGACTAGTACTGTATGTGAATACCTTGTAGATAAGTATTTCCCCTATAGCAAGTCAGATGCCTCTTTCCTGTTTGAAGAATGTTAGAAACATGCTTATTTGAAGGCATTGTTTATGTTTGGCACTCCACATCAACATTAAAGGTTTCACTAGTACACAAATTCATCAGTTTTACAAATTTTTTTGTGGCTTTTGATATGTAATACTGCTGGCTTTAGATTGTGTGTTTCATCTATCTAACCATTATATTGATATTGAGTTCCAGGTTGCTATATTTGTGGTTTTGGCAATGACATTAAGACGCAAACCTGATGTGCTGATCAATTTATTGCCAGTAATTAGTGAAAATCCAAAATATCAAGGACAAGACAAGCTTCCAGTCACTGTATGGATGATTGCTCAGGTAATGTTGACCAATTAGAATTCTCAAATATGTGAATTCTTCTCTTAGGAAAATGGATTTTAATATTTGGAATTGTATCTTAATTTAGGCGTCTCAAGGAGATTTGGTTGTGGGATTGTACACTTGGATTCGTGTTCTCTTCCCCATGCTGAGTGGGAAATCAAGCAGTAATCCTCAATCTAGAGACTTGATCTTGCAGTTGGTTGAGAGGTACCATTGGGTTTGAAATTAATTTTTACACCTTCCTATTTGATGCTTTGTGTAATTCAGATCTTTGAAATTTTTTTTTAGTAATTAAATCTTAATTTTCAGTGTTTATTTCATATTTTTTCTGACCTCTTTCTTTCCCTGTTTTGTTTGGATTAGAATCTTATCATCCCCTAAAGCTCGTACAATTTTATTAAATGGTGCTGTTAAAAAGGGTGAGCGCTTGGTGCCACCTTCGGCTCTTGAACTTTTGATGAGAGTCACCTTCCCTGCTTCTTCAGCTAGAGTTAAGGTGGGTATATTGGTACAGCATTTGCAGCTATATTTTGTGGGTATTTTTAAGTCCAAGGAAAATCTTTATTTTTTCTTCTGTAGGCAACCGAGAGGTTTGAAGCTGTTTATCCAACATTAAAGGAGGTCGCTCTTGCTGGTTCCTCTGGAAGCAAAGCAATGAAGCAAGTTACGCAGCAGATATTGAACGTTGCAGTCAAAGCCATTGGAGAAGGTAGTGTAAACTCAAATGGGCTGCTTTTCATCAATTGATTGTTGCTTGTCTATTCCTGTGTATCACAGCCTGTCTAGCAATGCTTCTGCAGGTAGCTCTGATCTATCAAGGGAAGCAAGTGACATTTTTATTTGGTGTTTGACACAGAACCCTGATTGTTACAAACAATGGGTAAGCATTTTCTGATGTAATTTATGATCTTATCTGTAAATTTGAGACACTTTGCTGTTGTTATATACATCATTGACTTTGTTTGCCCGTACATGAACTACTTGGAAACAGGACATGTTTTATCTGGATAATCTCGAAGCAAGTGTCACTGTTTTGAGAAAGTTGTCTGATGAATGGAAGGACCACTCGGTCAAACATTCTTCTCTAGACACTGTGAGGCAAACTCTAAAGAGTTTCAGGCAGAAGGTAACATGTTTTTTAATATTTGTATATGCATATTTACTTACAGAAAATGCATGTAGTATTAAAACAAAGGTTTCAGGTCATTAGAACCGCTGCAAATTCTTTGCTGTTATTTTTATAGACAAGTCCTGAACTGAATAATTTACCATACCGTTGCGAATTCTTTGCTGTTACTCTTGTAGACAAGTCCTGAACTGAATAATTTACCATTAGGCATTTGTATGTGAATTTTTTGTGAACAGCACTTGTGTTTTCTGAATTACCATACCATTAACATGCCTTGTCCTCTAAACAAAGGAGGAAGAGAAATGAGGGGACCTTGTTGTTTCTTCTCATTGCTCCAGGCATTCATAATTTTCTTTATTTATTACCATATTTCAAGTATCAATTGATTCCTACAGTCACTTTCACATGTATGATTGGGATCCAGATGGTATGCTGCAGTTGCTGGTGCACCTATTCTAATTTGCAGTTTCACCTTTTACTGACGATTTTATGCCAACTGGTTAACACGTTACCATCTTGTTATTTGTAACTTGTTCTATGATGTGTTTTTTATAGAATGAGAAAGAATTGGCAGAGGCAGAAAATGCAGGCGACCATGCATCCTTGAAAGAAGCAGACAAGTGCTGCAAGGCAATTCTGAGACGATTTTCACGAGGTCATGGATGCATAAGAAGCTTGTTTATCGTGTCTGCTGCTCTTGCTGCAGGAGCTGTTATCATGTCCCAGAAGGAATACTGGGACTTGCAAAAACTCTCAGCAATGCTCAACCTACCAATTTCATAAGTTCGTTATGGAGGTTCCCAGCAGCGAATGGCTTTTCATCATAGCCATTACTATTATATCCGGCTTAGTCCAGTTCTTCCTGGTGTTCCATTGTAAAATGGGCGGAGAATGAAGAGTTCTATAATGCAAATAGGAGCAGCAATAGCAATGCTGGCCAAAAGGAGTTGGCTGATCACAGAATGTTGATCTGTCTAGTTTTTCGGCTTCAAGCCAGTTTAATAGCTTGGTTTGCCCTTAATAATGACCAATTTATATGGTGTGTGTGTGTGTGTGCGTGTGTGCTAGCTATAACATATAGCTGGGTAATGTGTGCTTGATGCATAGTCAAATTATTTCTGTTTTCTTAGTTGGTCTAAATAAAAATCCACAGAATCTTTTAGGTCTACTTTTGGTGGCTGATAATTTAGGTGCTTGTTAGGGTTTTTCTGACCAAAATAATGATGGTGGAGACTATTGTTCCAATAAGTGATAATTACATATCCTGGATCTTAATACTTGCAGTCTCATATATATATACATATATATATCTGTTATGTTTGTTTGTTTGTTTGTTTGAAGCTTCAGATTAAATTGTGTAAAATGACCTCAATATGAGTAAATTGTGAAAGATGAAAAAAGGTTAGGGAAAAATGATTTTAATGGTTTAAAAATGAATCCCAACTTAGCAGTTTTTTTTGTTTTTTTTTTTTAGCCGGGAATTAAGGCTAATAAATTTTATTTTCTTCTCTCTGTCTTAGGTGTGGTGTTAGGGTGATGATTCACTTCTGTAGTTTAGCGTGTATAAGAAAAAAATCAAATAAGATTTGTTGCCTCCTCTTCGACTTGAAGCTTAATTTGCTGTTTTGTTACTAAGCATAAAAATAGACGTTTTATTTTTCCTTTGTAATTGTTTTGATCGAAAAAAAATGAAATGAAAAGTTTTATTTATACTTCATAACTTGTTTGGTTGGAATGAATGAAATGAAAAGTTTTATTTTTATTTTGTAGTTGTTTAGTTGAAAAAATAAAGTAAGAATTAAAATAAAGAATGAAAATAAAAATAAAAATTACATGTTTTGTTTTCATGGGAAAAGTGAGAATAAAAATGAGAATGAATTTTTTTTTAAAAAATAATGATATATTTTTATTTATTTATTCAGTATTAACTATTATTACTCACGTCATCGTCTTTATTGATGATAGTGATAAAAATTGTTATTATTCTAATTTCGTCTCCCATCACTATTACCACCACTTTCATTAGTGTTGGTGATAAAAAAATTCTTTGAAAAAAAAAATTAGTATTATTATTTTGTCACTATTCCACCTTAATTATTACCAACACTTTTATAATACTACGATCATTAACGATGGTAATAAAAAAAATTATTATTATTATTATTATTTCGTCATCACTTTTTTTCAATTACCACCACAATCGAAAATGAAGATAAAAAAAATTATTATTAGTATTTGTTAAGACATGTCTCTCGTCGCTTCCACTTCAAACGACACCGTTGCAAAGGATTCATCACAGCTCACGCCTAGTTCCAAGTACGTTACTAGACTCCTCCGTCGCAGCCTCATGCCCGACTCCATTTCCGAATGCTACTAGACTCTCTCATCACAGCTCATGCCAAACTTCTATTACGAGTAACGTTGTGGACTCTTCTACATCTACTCGTCGTGAGGTGTCGGGTTGTCGCTCGTGCACCTCTATCGTCTAAGTTTCCTACTTGTACTAATATATTAGATAATAGACTCCATTTATGTATCAAATATATATTTATAGTTATCTATCGTAGCAACTAGTATATATATGTACAAAGCATCATAATGAAATGCAAGAGAGAGAAAATATTTTTTACACGGAACCAAAGAACTTGTTGCTACCCTTCTTATTCTATGTTGTGATTCCGTTGCTTCCACTTCAATTGATACTGCTGCAAAGGATTCATCACGGCTCATGCTTAGTTCAAGTACGCTATTGGACTCTTCCGTCGTAGCTCACGTTTGACTCCGGTTCCGAGACGCTACTAGACTCTCTCATCACGACTCATGCCAAACTTCTTTTACAATAACGTTGTGGACTCTTCTATAGCTACCGTCATGAGGTGTTGAGTCGCTGCTCCCGCACCTTTATCGTCTAAGTTTCCTACTTTTACTAATAGACTAAATAATAAACTTTATCTATGTATCAAAAATATATTTATAGTTATCTACTCGTAGCAATTAGTATATATGTATAAAGCATCATAATGAAACGTAAGAGAGAGAAAATATTTTTTACACGGAATTAAAGAACCCGTTCCTACCCTTCTTATTCTCCGATGTGATCGTGTCTGCTTTCATTTCACACGCCTTTATTACAAAGGATTCATCATAGCTCACGCCTAGTTCCAATACGCTACTCGGACTCCTCTACCGCGACTTATGCTTGACTCCAATTCCGAGTATGCTACTAGAGTCTCTTATCATAGCTCACGCCATACTTCTCTTTCGGTAGCGTTGTCGACTCTTTTATAGTTACTGCCGTGAGGTGTTAGGCTGCTCGCTCCTCGCACCTTTATTGTCTAAGTTTCCTACTTGTACTAATATATTAGATGATAGACTCCATCTATGTATCAAATGTATATTTGTAGTTATTTATCGTACTAACTAGTATATATATATACAAAGCATAACAATGAAACATAAGAGAGAGAAAATATTTTTTACACGTAACTAAAGAACCCCGTTGCTATCCTTCTTATTCTCTATTGTGATTCCGCTGCTTCCACTTCACAAGCCTCTACCATGAAGGATTCATCACGGCTCATGCCTAGTTCCAATACACTACCGAACTCCTCTCGTCGTAACTCGGGCGTGACTCTAGTTCCAATATGTTACTAGACTCTCTCATTACAGCTCACACAAGACTTCTTTTCCAGGTTGCGTTGTGGACTATTCTACGGTTATTGTCGTGAGGTATTGAGTCGCTTGCTCCTGCACCTCTATCGTCTAAGTTTCCTACTTATACCGATAGATTAGATGATAGACTCCATCTATGTATATAATATATATTTGTAATTATCTACCGTAGGAACTAGTATATATATATATACAAAGCATCATAACGAAACGCAAGAGAGAGAAAATATTTTTTACACAAAACCAAAGAACTCATTGCTACCCTTCTTATTCTCTCGCTATGATTTTACTGCTTCCACTTCACATGCCTCTGCTGCAAAGGATTCATAACATCTCATGCCTAAATCCAATATGCTACTGGACTCCTCTATCGCGACTCATGCTTGACTCATGTTCCGAGTATGCTACTAGACTCTCTCATCATAACTCATGCCGGACTTTTCTTCTAGTAGCGTTGTGGACTCTTTTATCTCTATTGTCGTGAGGTATTGGGGCATCGTTATTGCACCTCTATCGTCTAAGTTTCCTACTTGTACTAATAGATTAGATGATAGACACCATCTATGTATCAAATATATATTTGTAATTATCTATTATAGCAACTAGTATATATATGTACAAAGCATCATAATGAAACGTAAGAGAGAGAAAATATTTTTTACACGTAACTAAAGAACTCATTGCTACCTTTCTTACTCTCTGTTGTGATTCTTCTACTTCCACTTCGCACGCCTTTCGTCGCAAAGGATTCATCACGGCTCATGCCTAATTCCAATACCCTACTGGACTCCTCTACCACAACTCACGCTCGACTCCGGTTCCGGTATACTACTCGGACTCTCTCATCATAACTCACACCAAACTTCTCTTTTAGTAGCATTGTTGACTCTTCTATAACTACTATCGTGAGTTGTTGAGTCGCTTGTTCCTACACCTTTATCGTCTAAGTTTCCTACTTGTGCTAATATATTAGATGATGGAGTTCATCTATATATGAAATATATATTTATAGTTATCTACAATAGCAACTAGTATATACATGTACAAAGCATAATAATGAAACGCAAGACAGAGAAAATATCTTTTACTCGAACTAAAGAACCCGTTGCTACCTTTCTTATTCTCTGCTGTGGTTTTGTTGTTTTCGCTTCACACACTCTCGCTATAAAGGATTCATCACAGCTCATGCCTAGTTTCAATACGCTACTGGACTCCTTTACCAAAGCTTACACTCGACTCCAATTCCAGTATGCTACTAGACTCTCTCATCATAGCTCACTCCATACTTCTCTTCCAATAGCATTGTGGACTTTTCTATAGCTATCGCCATGAGGTGTTGAGGTCGCTGCATGTACCTCTATCGTCTATATTTCTTACTTATATTAATAGATTAAATGATAGACTCCATCTATGTATCAAATATATATTTATTGTTATCTATTGTTGCAACTAGTATATATATGTATAAAGCATCATAATGAAACGCAAGAGAGGAAAAATATTTTTTACACGTAACTAAAGAACCCATTGTTACCCTTCTTATTCTCTCGTTGTGATTGTGCTTGCTTCCATTTCACACGCCTCGCTGAAAAGGATTCATCGCGGCGCATGCCTAGTTCTAATACGCTACTCGGACTCCTCTACCGTAACTCACTCCCGACTCCAATTTCGGTATGCTACTCGGACTCTCTCATCATAACTCACATCATACTTCTCTTCCAATAGAGTTGTGGGCTCTTCTACAGCTATTGTCGTGAGGTGTTAGGTCGCTCATCCAGCACCTCTATCGTTTAAGTTTCCTACTTGTACCGAGTATCGATAGATTAGATGATGGACTATATCTATGTATTAAATATATATTTATAGTTATCTACCGTAGCAAACGAGTATATTTATGTATAAAACATCATAATGAAACGCAAGAGGAAGAAAATATTTTTTACACGGAACCAAAAAACCCGTTGCTACCCTTCTTATTCTCTCGTTATGATCTGCTGCGTTCACTTCACAAGCCTCGACTCGCAAAGGATTCATCATAGCTCACGCTTAGTTCCAAACATATACCGGAGTCTTTTGTCACGACTCACGCTCGACTTCAATTCCAGGTATGCTACTCGGACTCTCTCATTATAGCTCGCACTAGACTTCTCTTCCACTAGCGTTGTCGACTCTTTTACGACTACTTGTCGTGAGGGTTCGGGCATGTGCTCCTGCAACTCTATCGTCTAAGTTTCTTACTTTTACCGATATATTAGATGATGGACTTCATCTATGTATCAAATATATATTTGTAGTTATCTATCGTAGCATGCTAGCATATATATGTACAAAACATCATAATGAAACATAAGAGAGAGATAGTATTTTTTACACGGAACCAAAGAACTCCGTTGCTATCCTTTTTATTCTTTGTTGTCATTTTAAGTTTATTCAATTATCATTCTTTATTCATCATCACCATTATCACTTCTATTATATTATTATTACTACTATAATTCTTTTTCCTCTACCACCTTTTATGATGACTATATCAATTTTTTTAAAAATATATTATTGTGATTAGTATTGTTTCTTCTTCATTTTCCTTCTCTTACTTCATCACCTCCACCATCACCACTTCCACAATCACTTTTATTATTTTTACTATCATCATAGTTAACAAAATCATTTTTTAATTAATATTCTTATTCGTATTAAAAATTAGATTAAAAATTTAAATTTTATTTTGATTTTTTATTAGTATTTTAAATAAAGTATGAGAATATAAAAATGGCTTTGATTTCCTTTTTTTTTTAATTATTACACTACTCGTTTCGGATTTTTTATTTTGAGTAACCAAGTAGCATGAAGATTCTCTTTTCTTCGGGGATGGATGAACGAGAAAGGAAACTTTGCATGGTCAATAACTTGTCCTAACCACTCGTTAAGATAATCTCTCCCGGATTGTGCCAAATATTAGAGCCCAGCTACAAAGGCCCAAAATTAAAAGTTTTTAGTAAAAAATTACAAAACCTTTTTCATTGGACTTCATAGGACGGATTAATTTCAAAGAAAAAAATAAAAAAATAACCTAGGTTTGACCTAACTATTTTACATTTCGTATCTTCTTAAAGCGAAACATCCTTTAGTTTTTCTCTTGGATTATTTTCTTGTCTATTAAAATTTTTTATAATACTCAAAGAGTAATTAGTAGTGTGTATAACGGTTACTCTATAGATTCACTTTGAAAAAAGAAATAGACACATAAAAAAAAAGAGAATCACATCCGGACCCATCAAAAGTGATAAGAAGATTTTCACGTTTGCATAATTTTTTTTTTAATTTTCTCTCTTGTTTCTCTCTCTGTTTTTTTTATGTGTATTTTTCTTCTCAAAGTGGATCTATAGAGTAACTACTATACGTGCCATTAGTTACTCCTTGAGTATTATAAAATTTCTCATGTCCGAATGAAAAATACTTTAGTATCTTAGGAGTGTTAACACCTAATTGTTTTTCCAAAAAATAATGCAAAAAAGAAAAGAAAAGAAAAGGGACTAAAAAAATATAATAAAGGGATGCAATAGAAAAAGAGAGGAAAAAGTGATCAAAATGAAGCAAGTTTGTGAGATGAGGGACCAAACCAAACTTAACCTAAAAAACCCTACATATAAAAAGCCCCATATGCCTTTTTTGACAGGAGCTACTGTTCACCCCCTAAAAAACCTAGCCGCCAGCCTCCTCCAACCACGGTAGTACCTCCACCCTACCCTCGGCGCCTCCTCCCATAGCGAGCACTAGCAGCCCTCTCGGCCCTCTCTCCCCACGCCACTAGCCTCCCTCAACGCTTCGCCACCACGCCGACAATCACTTCTTCACCCTCGCACCTCCATATGCCACCCTTCTTCCCCCACACCTAATAGCATGTTCCAGCAACACTAGGCGCTTCAACATGCCTCCCGACGACCTCGCCCACGGGTTTGCCAACGCCCCGGTGCGCGCCAACACCGAGCCGGTGTGCGTTAGCGCTAGTGCCCGGCGCCCCAACATGCGCCTCACATCGGCGCCAACGCCTCACCCGATGCGCGGCTCACGCCGGTGCCGGTGCCCGGCTCCCCGGCGCGGCCCAACGCCAGGCGACGACCGTTTTCACTGTTTTTCCTCCCCGGTTGACCAAGTATTAGTCTTCATCGAGATTGAAAAGGTTGGATCGACTTCGAGATCGCCAAATGAATCTGTCCATCTCATTTTCTTTACAATAAATTTTTTTCACTTTTTATTTCTTTTATTTTATTTTTATCTTAATATGTATTAAATTTGATTCATACTATGATGTGTTATGTAATTGATTGGATGACTATGTTGTGCAATTGATTTGATCCGTGTTTTTATGTATAATTTATTTGGATTGTGATGTCCTACACTATTGATTTTACGATTTGATGATGAATAATGTGTTGGTTTGAACGTTTGGGTATTTATTGTTATTCGAAATGTGTATTTTAAAAGTACGTCTTGTATGACGATTTTATAAAAAACACAAAGCAAGTTTGAACTCGTTACCATGTAACTCTGTTTTCATAAAAAAACGATCGATTATGTACGTCAAAGCAATTAATTTCATCGATTTTTGTGTTTTCATCAATTTTGGTCCAATTGTCAATTTTCGTCAAGTTTTTCCCATATGTGCTTAAGTTGGTTGATTTTTACCTATATTTACCCAAGTTCGTCGATTTTTATTTATTTTTGCCTAAGCCGTCGATTTTTGCTGTTTTTGCCTAAGTTTGTCGATTTTAGCCTATTTTTGCCTATGATTGCCTAAGTTGTCAATTTTTACTAGTTTTTGCCTAAATCGTCGACTTTTGCCCATGATTGCTTGAATTATTGATTTTCATTTATTTTTTCCTTAATTGTAGATTTTTGCCTATGATTGCCTAAATTATCGATTTTTGCCTATTTGTCGATTTTGCCAATCTTTGTCTATTTGTCAATTTTTGCCTAATTGCCTATTTGTCGATTTTGCATATTTGCCTATTTGCTAATTTATCGATTTTTTCATTGTTTGTCTCGTTTGTCTATTTTTGTCAATTTTGTCAATTTCGCCTATTTGCCTATTTGTCGATTTCATCAATCTGTCTGTTTTGTCTGTTTGCCTATTATTTTTAAGTTTTGTTTTCACACATGTTGTCTAAGTTGCATTAGTATCACATCCTTGCATTCATCATTCTTTAGCCATCCATTACAGAGTGAGGATAAGGTCTCCGACCGATCAAGTCTAAAATCACTCAACTAGTGGGCAAATACTTGAAAAATAGGTATAGTTTTTCATCATTAAAAATCGGAAATCAAGTCGGTTTTGTATGCAATGCAGCTTGCCTTAGGTAGGACGGGTTAGGGTGATCTTTAATCTTCCCTACGCGTAATAAACTCTTTATCCGAACTACGAACGGACCGGTCATGGGGTTTCCTAATAACCATAATACTAGGTGACGACTCTAATCATTTTCCTATATTAACCTCATCGCCGACGTCGCCGTGCGACAAGGAGTACTCACCATTTTGTATTAATTGATATTTTATATTAAAATTGAAATAATTTTTATTTTTATTTTCATATACTATTTTCATTTCTTTATATTATTTGTAGCATAACAATTTTAATGGTAATTATTAATCAATATACATGACTTCGCTTAAGTAGATGAAATATGAATAAGTGGATATTATTTAAGTGGATGAAATATGAAGAATGAATACTATTGTAGTATTTTTGTTATAGGAAACAATGGATTAAATTGAGGATGTGTGGACCTTCAAGTGGAAAAAAAAATGGAGAGAAATATGAGCAAAAGATAGTCCCCTATCAAATTTCCTTTAAAGATTTTATCGTCATGGACTTGATATTTTTGAAGTTCATGTATAACATTTGACTCATTTCTCATTTAAATCGAACCAAGTCAACTTATCTTTCAAACAAAAAAGATAATAGAAAAACTATTTATATTGTTCTTAAATGCTCACAACTCTAAATCACAAGTCTTGAATTTCACTCTTTGTTTTGACCAAATGAAAACATCACTTATATATATAATCCTCCACCTACTCAATGAATAGTTGAGATTAATTTAATCTAATAACTACAAATGGTTATTTAGAATATTTATATTTTGATATTTACAAAAAAAAAAAAAAAAAAATTCTAGATATATGATTCTCCCTAGAAATTGTTAGGATATGTTTAGATTTTTTTTTTTTTTTGGATAATCTAAAACTTTTATGTTGCTCCGCATTTTTTCAAAAGCTTTCGGATTTATCGACCTTCCAATTAACCTCCGTAAACGATCTTTTTCATGTGTAACGTAACACTGATGAGTTGTGGATAATTGATAGCCATTTGCCAATTTGCAATTTCAGTTGGGGAGTCACACATCATTACACAGTCAAACAATAATGAAAGTCATGTTGTATCACATGTCCTAACCACCACCACGTCAGGAAACCCACAAAATCTGTATTTCTCTTTCCCTTTCTTTTTCATTCAATTAAATCTAAAAACAGTTGGAATTTTTTTTGGGGATGCACTAAATGGAAAAATCGAAGAGCTTATCTATTATAAATCCAAAATTTTTTCAATGGCTTTTAGTTTTTATGAGCATTTTTCTTTACAAATTGGGACCAGAAACGTCAATTGACATTATCAAAGAGATATATCATTCGGTTATTGATGAAGCCAAAGAGTTTTTCTAAAATATTTTAGGTCCAAAAGTTAAATTTTTCGCTATTTGATCGGATGTATAAATCGAACATGTTTATCTAAAATATTTTCTGCATACACAGGTATTGGAAACTAAGATATATACAATTTTAATTTTGATAATTACAGATGAGTTCTTCTTTTGTAATTAATTTCATTTTAATAACTACTGGCGAGTTCTTCTTTTTTAATTAATTTCATTTGTTTTTATATTATTTTTACTCTCATTAATTGTGTTGTTGTATTATTCTATAATATTTTGAATTTGGCTTCTTCTTCTTCTTTTTTCTTTTTGAAAAAGGAATTCGGCGTCTTGTCTTCTTGAATTGACCATAACACAACTATATAAATGGAAGAATATTAGTAAAAGGACCAACATCAAGAGAGTAGTGCTCTTGTAAAAGGTTTTAGTATCCCTTGAATTAATTTAAAAGTAATATTTTTTGGAAGAGAATTTTTTTTTTTTTTTTTTGTCCATTGGATGTAAAAAAAATTTAATTAATTAATTAATTAATTGAAGCCAAAAGAGGGGCAGCTCTTGCAATTCTGTGTGACTATCTTCATACAAGAAATAGATACATCTTGATTCATATCTCCTTAAATCCAAACGTTCTAGTCCTTTGAGGACATCCGATTAAATTGGAATGATACATAAACATTAATGTGACCTTTCATAAGAATGATGCATACAAATAATAATAATAGACTCAAAAAATTTTCTCAAAGAACTATATAACTTTGATGATTATTCAAAGAATAATATCATTAGAGATACTTAATTATTTATTAAATTTTTTTTATCTAGTGATATGAAACCATACAATTGATATTTTATAACTATAAGTATCCTATTAAATGTGGTAAAATCCATATTCCATGATTTGAAAAATTTCCTTGTAATACATACTCCTTCATTTATTAAAATATATATATATATATATTAATCCACCTTAGTATTACCCTCATTCAAAAGGGGAGTAATTAAAAACATAATGTTAGAGATAATTTTTAACTAAAATTATTTATCAAATGACGTGGTATGATGCTATTGGTCCGTGTTTTATTAATCATTCAACTTCATAATTATAATTATTCAAAAATATTTACATTGCATGATTTGAAATTCTTTATTTGTGATAGATGACACTAGCTCATTAATAAAATTTAGTATTCCTAACATGAAAAAAGAGAAACAAAGGCTAGGATTACAAAAGAACAAGAGCAATCAAAGAGACATGATAAGTAACATGACAAAGTTGACAAAAGCAAAGAAAAAAAGATCCAAATTAACCACGAACCGCGGCGCTTTCATTGCTCACCTTTTCATGTGAGATAGAGACTCATTTTTTGGATTGAATGCCTAACCCCAACATTCACGCCTTAATTTCTTCCCAAAATATTCCTATAAGTAAGACCTCGGCCATATCCTCCTTTCCATACTTGGAAACAAAAACCCTATCAGAATATATATAATAACAGAGAGAGAGAGATAAGAGCAATATTTATACATAAATGGCTAGCTTCAACCGCAATTCCCTCTTGGTGCTCCTCTCTCTTCTTCTTCTAATTACATTTTCTAATGTGCCTGAGGTATGTGCATGCATTAATTGTTTCTAAAAATGGTCAACACTCTCGTTAAAAAGAGCTCTAATTTCTGCTTTTTGCCTTATTAATCTTTTCACAGGTCTATGGTGCTAAACTCCATCCCTCAGGTATACATGTATATGCTTGCTAATGTTTTGGATTTATGTATTTTTGTTTTATATATATAAAAAATACGAACATGACTACAACCGAAGTAAAATGTGGATTCTAACTAGTTTCACTGCTAGCTACAATCATTAGAAATGGCAATGTAGATCCTTTATGAATATTGTAAGAGTTCATGAAAAAAAAAAAGTTTTTTTTTTTTATTATATTTAGATTCTATACTCTTCATAGTTTTTCATTGAGATTTTAAGATTTCTTACTTTAAGCTTGTGAGATTATTTAATTAATTCCTTGTTGTGACATTACAGAATGCAAACCGAGATGTAACTACCGATGCTCAGCAACATCACACAGGAAGCCATGCATGTTCTTCTGCCTGAAATGCTGTGCTACCTGCCTGTGTGTTCCTCCTGGTACTTATGGCAACAAGGAAACATGCCCTTGCTACAACAACTGGAAGACCAAGGAAGGCTCCCCCAAGTGCCCTTGATTAATTCCCAATCAAAACTGAAGAATATATATATATGCCTACAATTCCTTTCCTATTTAAATAGCTTTCCTATGGATTATGGATTTTGGATTTTCTCTCTTTAGGCTATCTATCCTTTAGATGCCATATTCCTCAAGCCTGCTAAAAGGGGCAATATCTTTTTATGGGTAATTTTGTTGCAGCCAAGAGAGAAGCAAAATAGCTTGGAAGTACTCTTTTTAGTCCATAAAGGGCAAGATTAAGATCTTAATGATTTGTTCCAAACAAAAAAAAGTTATCTCAATGACGAGATTAGTGTCTGAGTATGATAATAATAATATATATATATATATATATATATATATACTATCTATCCAGCAATCAATTTGAATCCATCAAGATCAACTCGTTCATCATGACATATAATTTTCAATGAAGTTGAGATCAAAATAACCATAACATGGACTAAATCATAAATCAGTGTTTCTAGTTTCTAGAAACAAATTAATTAATTTTTGTTTTAAAAATTAATTATTTAGTTCATTAACTAAGGAAGAAAATGCAAATATGTAATGATACAAAACTACTCTTCTGTTTGTAGTTGAAGTTCGGGATACTTTAACTTGTGAAGAAAAAATCATGTGTTTCATCTACCATAAGTTCTGCAGAAAAACACAAGAACCAACCTTTTGTAATCGGCAATTTAAGAACAAAGAATTGTGCTTTGACCACATTATCTGTACTTGTGGGTATGTGTGAGAAAGAGTTACAAAGAGATTAAGATCAACAACAATTAAGAATGGGTGTTGGGATTCTATCCCTGACAATTAAGAATGAATACTAAAAGCCCATGTGAGGTGGTAGTTCATCATCATCATCATCCAATATAAAGGTGCACACTAGAATCTAGATTGCAAACTTATTGCAGTAGATGCAAGACCATGGTGACGTTGTTGTTGGGTTTTGGTAGGAATACCATTGAAAGATAAGCTTAAAGTTTAGGCCGATACTCCATAGTGAATTTAGCCCCCTAGTCCACATGCTCAAAACCCTAATGGCCCATAGTCCATTTAGATTTTTTTTTAATAAAAAAAAAAAAACGTACTATCTATATTGAAATTTTAGTTTTTTAACAGAAATATCGAATTTAAATTGACTTTGATTTTGGTTTTTATTTTTGATAATTTAATTGATCGAAAACCGAACTAAATTAAAAGATCGTCTGTTCACTCTTTATTGGTATCTTTTTTTTTCTACTTTTTAAAATGAAAAAGAAAAAAAATTAGAACATAAAATAGATAAAAATAACTAAATAATTAGTTTTTCAAACAATACAGACTAATTAATTTGTTTCTCAAAACTAAAAAGATTAATTTATATTTTACTCCCTAATCTGGCAAATATTTTAGACCATTGTTTAATAACAGTTTTTGGTATTTTATTCACTTAATATTATTATCCTAGAAATTATTATTATTATTATTATTTGGTCTTTTAGGCAGTAGATCTTCTCTGCTCTACTTTTATTCAATGCATGATTATTATTATTTTTTTAATTAAAACTAGTTTTTCCACCACGAAAACCTAACTATTAATGTAAGAAATTGAATTCTATACAATTTACATAATTAGTGTCTGATTTATTCACTTATAACTTAAAAAAGAAAGTACTGAGAGTAACAATTTTTGCAATGAATTTAGCACCACCCTAAATTTTTATTTGAATGCTTCAGCACATTTTGTCTTTTAGAAAAAAATAATAATAAAAGTTAAGAAACTCAAATTAGCAAAATTAAGATCAAATTATAATTGCTCTTCGAATTATTGATAAATTCACTAACAATTTTGTTATTCATGGTGCTACCTATATATGAAACTTTTTCACTAAAAGGGTTAAAAATAAAGATTTGCCACTTGGTAATTTTAAGGAGACCAGAAAACCTATTCAGCTAGTTTTATAGAGATTGTGAGTAAAAATTAAGTTGATTATATTTATGAAAATAATAAAAAAAACTCAACAACATTTTTTTTTAAAAAAAAAAGGTTACCTGACTTGTTTTATTCTTAAATTATTTTTCTAAAAATAAAAAATATTATTTGCCAAGATAATTCCAAACCCATCTTCAAGTTTATTTTTTTAACTCGAGTCATTTATGAATTTAGAAAATCTAAAGAACTAATTATTCACATTTTATTGATATTTAAAACATACTTGGATGGATTGGGATTTATAATAGTATCGTATTAAATTATCATCAAACTCCAAAATTAAAAGTCACGTTAATTTAACATTGAATTTTATTATAGTCCCGATATGATTGTCATATCGAAACAAATCGATAAAATATGAATAAATCATATTGATTAAGTTTTGTATTGGATTTTAAATGCTACAAATCCTTAAATTTGGAGTAAAAATACTTTAAAATTTAAACATTAAACAATATTTTGTGGGTGAAGATGATGTTTAAATCATTCTATATTTTTAGAAATATAAATATAAGAACTCTAATTTAAAGGTAAAACACCTAATCAATTTAGTTTTTATGCAAAAATTAATTGTATGACATGAACTAAAGAAAATTTAGATGAGTCCCAAACTATCTTAAAAAAATTATGAAATTTCACACATAATTTAAAAGACATTTCTTTTACAACATACTAAAAATTCATATTAAAATCACATAAAAAAAACCTTTTTCAAATCATGATTGAATAATGAACAGAACAGCTCTTAGCTCTAAAACAATGTTGATTTGACCCTTATTATGCCTTTATGTGAAATTGAAGAGTACAATTGAAGAATCATTATATATTGAATTACCACACTAAAATGAGTTAACAAATCCAGGGACTGAACCTCGTAAAACAAGCCAAATTCAAAAACGAACACTGTTCAACCAGAACGTTTTTTTCCATTTTTCTGCGTTTTTTTCTCTCTTCTATGGCCAAGGTTTCCATGGATTCAATCAAACGAAATGGGACAATACATGACCAAACAATGATTCGGATATGATAATCGCACACCAAATTTCCATGCCAACGCAAAAAACATGAAAATCAAGCCGCTAAAACATCTTCCTGAAGGACTGTTAGAAAGCCACACACTCCTTGAAAGTTTGGAAATTGATGGCCTGAGAAGTCTGAAGTCATCATCAATTCAGCTACCTAACCTCTGTGCTCTTAAACGCCTAGATCTTGACGATTGTGAAAAAGTTGAAAGGTTGGCTCAAGCTAGGTCTCTGGAACCTCAACTCTTTGGAGACAATATGGATAGAGGGTTTTAGAAGATTAATTCTCTGTAAATCAATGGACGCTGTCCTTCGTCTTCTCTTCGTGTCTTATGGATTCCATGATGTCACGAATTTGCATCTCTCTCAATCAAATCTTGATAATTTTACCTTTAAATTTGGGCAGTATATTATATACATTCTCAAGGATGGTAGATACAGTTTCCAAGACACTCAACTTTTACCGGTTGATGGGCAGCAGAGAATCCACTACTGTAACCAAATGTTATCCAGCTTAAACTCAGTAGAAGTCTATATTATCTTTTTTGATGCATCTTTCCGGAGCTGATATATTTGTCTATGATTTGAGAACAAAAATGCAAGTGCAGCAATCGGTAGGCCACAGTTTTGTTATTTTCACCTAAACACAATTAATACGAAGCCAATCACCTAAGAAAAAGTTGAAATCGATAGGAAAATGAAAATGATTATGTTCGTCATTGATGGGGTCATTATCAACTCGCTGACAAATAAGTTGTAGATTTAGATTCTTGAATTTGTTTGGCCACTACATTACCATCTAGGAGTGGTTTCTAGGTGGTCTAGTTTGAAGTATGCGAGTGTATCTATAGACAGAGCAAAAGACTTGTAATGTCATCAAGAGCAGAAGAAAAACTGCAGCCACCAATGTGAGGAACTTCCAGGAACTAAACACATATTGCTTCATAAATTTCCCACCTTTTACCCTCCATCGTCCATTATAATGCCTGTTAACATCTTCAATCACTTTGTCTAAGAAAGGAACCTTGGTAAGTCTAATAGATTTACTCATCCCATTCCACAAGTTGGCAACCTCTTCATCGCTCTTTAACCGGTTCAAAATGATGCCTTTTTCTCTAAGCAACTTCACATCCTCTTCGGTATCGATTATCCCATTCATTAATTCAGTATAACGCGTAAAAACCAGCGGTCCTGACGCGTTTGATGCCTCATATGCTACTAAGTTTCTTAAGACCACCTCTGTGTTCACATCTAAACTGATAATCGGAAGGTACAAGGTATCGGTCTTAACATCAAAACTAATGCTTAGGATGTTACTGGTTGTGGGTACGAAAAGGACTCCGGATTTAGACAGCTCGGCGACGCAAGGAATTGCGATCTCCTCCACCAATGGAGGTTTGTTAAGTTCATTGTTCAGGTTCTTATTCTTTGGTTGGATTTCTTCTTTGTCTTGTGAGAAGAATAGGTATTCAACAAGTTGTTTCAACATCGAACATACAGGGAGATTCGAGACGATTGTCCAAGGCAATTTAAGCAAGTATTTAACAAGTCTAGAAAATAGCAACCTTTTGAGAAGACGTACCAGACCTTCGCTTAGCCTTGATGGGATACATTTGCCATGCATTGCATCAAGCTGATCCTCAGCCTCACTTGTCTCCTCTGGGGCTTCAATTCTGGGCACGATCATGTCATACAGAAATTCTAGCAAGTGGGAACACTGAGAAATGTTGATCTTGGGAATGTCCTGTAACATCTTAAATGGGGAAATCTCTTTACAAAATCCAACCAACATCGAGAATAGCATATCATCAGCCAGCTCCAATGATGAAAATTGAACTTCAAGAATTTTTCGCAACACAAATAATGGGATTTGGTTCTCAAGCATGACCATATCTATGAGAATTGCATTGTGGGCTGATTTTCTCCCTGCATAATCAACCAAATGTGAGATTCTTGAGGAAACTCTTGTGAGTGTGATCCCTTCTTTAATGGCATAGATTTGGAGGAATTCTAGCAAGAAAGATGCATCAATAGCCATCATCCAGGCTAAAGTTTCATTACTAAAATCTAAGAACTTATGGTAACAGGCTCGAATTTTCAACTCCAGGTTGATCAAGTGATCAACAATGTGCGAAAACTTGAGGCTTTCGAGTTGTTTTTGAGCTCTTTTCGCCGCGACAAGCTTGTACCTCTCCATCTCATAGAGCTCCGGACGCCAGTAATGGTAAGGACCTATTGCAACTTGTTGAGGAATATAGCAGTCAGGAGAGCTTGCCATTAGAATTTTTGGAACATTGAAAATGCAGACAGGAATTTCAGTGTCGTCTTCGAGCTCTTCGTCGAGTGTTCGACGGACGTTGATAATCCATCGATGTTCATCGAAGTTTGGATTTGAATTGAAGGTCATGGTGGATCGGAGAGGAGACATGTTTGTGCTCTAGGAAACGAAATCTTGGTGTGGCAGTTCAAGTAATGTGCATTTAGTGGTAAGGAAGTTAGGGAAGTAAGGTTTTATAGTCATCAGACATTCAATATCGTTTTTTTCTTTTGTTTTAATTTTTGGTCCTAAGCATTCACTATCATTAAAGTGGAAATTAATTATATGAAATAAATAAGAAATAAATTGATTGAGTTATTCAAAATAAATAATATTTAAAAGAAGGTGTATTGTGATGAGATAAACTTTGTACATGAATTCATGTGTTTATGAGAGGTTTTGTTTTTTTTTTTTTAATGGTAAAGAATATTTTTGTTAAATTTAAAAACTTTTGATTAACAAATTTAATTTTTTTTTTGTTGGATTGTAAGTGGTGTCTAATTTTGTGATTTATTCATATATTCATATATTTTTCTTTTTGGTCAAGTGATTCAAATGCATATGTTTTATTCATATACAAAAGTTTGCCATTTGCTCCCCAGAAGTTGTTAAAATTACTAGTATTGACCAAAACATTCCTAAAATCATCAAACTCACCGACAAAAATTATATAAAAACCCAAAATATAAATTATTGATCAACAAGATATGATTGATTCTACTATAGTTTTCAACTAGCTGATTACCCGTGCCATTACCCACGCTATGCTGCGGATCAAGCACAACAAAATCATTTTAAAATTTTAAAATTTTTTATTTAATTCAATTTTTTTTTATGTTTTTCTTAAATTTTCTACTTAAAAAACATGATTTATTATTCTTTATACATAGATTCTGAAATAAAACTTTTAATAATTTAAATTAAAATATTAATCAATAATTAAAAATATATATTTTTATAAGAATGTATTCAAAAAAATAAAATTACAATTAATGTATAAAATTATATAAAAATTAACTAATAAAAAATAAAATTTTACTTTTATTTAATGCTGATAAGATGGTTATTTTTTAAAAGTATATGCATTTGATATATATATATATATATATATATATATATATATATATATAAACAATGTTAGCATAAAAAACTGTATTTGAATAATACGTTGATTTTTCTTAAAAATGTTTAATTATTTTATTTTAAATAAATTGATTCCGTAATATTTATTTAAAAAAATATTTATAGCAAATAGTTTGTGCTATATGTGAAGAAGTATAATTAATTTTTAATAAAATTGATGATTCAAAAGTTATTTTTTATATGTAACTATACTTAATAGACTAAGATAAATTATTTGAAATGCTCTTTTAATCTTTTAGATTAAAATAATTATATATTTATATATAAGCAAATATCATTTAAAAATTCTAAGAATATATGATATATATTATATCACTTTATTTTTTAAAAAAGAGAAAATATTTTTAAAAAAATTTTATTCTAAAACTCAAATATGAAAATAAAATTATATTTATTAAAAAATATTAAGGATTTTCATAAAAAAATAACAAATTCAAAAAATAAATTTCACATAAAAGTAATATAATCTAACATATATATTAATTTTAAAATAAAAAATGATATTATACATAGCTTATATTCACCACATTGTGTGAAAAACACATATAATAATACTCAGATATTTCATCAGTTTTGCCTAAAAAGCTTAATTAAAAAAATAAATAAAAGCAAAAACCAAAAATTAAAGGTAAAAAACACAAGGAGAAAGCCCATGCACCTGGGCTTGAAGCATGAGGCCTGTGCACCTGGGCCTGGCTAGTGCTCCGCATGCAGGCTTGGGGAAAAAAGGGGGTTCCTCTTCATTTTTTACAACCTCTGCATTTTTTAGGCGATCCATTTTACTAAAAAAAAGTCACCAAAAAGTCGGATTTTATTATTTTCGACCTCTCAAACTATATGTGACTCTTTTTTGTCCAAACAAACCTCAAAAATTACTGAAATAACATAAAAAAAAAAAAAAACTCATTTAGAACATCAAAATCCATTTTAATTCACACAAAATATACAAAAATTTAAATTAAAAAACTCAAAATATTTCAGACTTTTGATCTACCTCATCTTACCATTTCATAGTTTAGCACTACAAACAAATTTTACTCTTCGAGATGAACAAAGTGATGATAAGATCAATCGTTGTAGATGGCCAGAATAGACCTTGCTAGTTGTCTCTCTCCTCTCCCATCTCTATCTATCCTTTCTGTCTTCTCTTCGGATATGGGGACCAAAATGAATAAAAAAATAAAGTTTCGAACCAAAAAAATGTTATTAAAAAAGACTAAAATAAATATTTTTTATGCAAATAGTAAATGAATAGTAATTTTAGAGAGAGTAAATAATAAATGAATAGTAAAAAATAGAGAGTGGCATAGTGACTAAGCAATCAATTTTGTTTTGTTTTAGTTAATTCCCTCCCAACACGCGCGCGCGCACACACACAAAGATCACTAATGAAATAGTAGGATAAATATAAATTTTAAAATGGAGTTTGTATTATAGAAAAGCTTGTTATTTGTTCTTTCACTACTTCTCTAAAAACTCATAGAACTCATTGCATTATACTGAAGAATTTTTGTTTTAAAAGAAGATATCAAACAATCTCTTCTTTTAGAAGCTATAGATGAGAATAATTTAAATTTTAATCAAGCGGCTTTGCAAGTCTTTCAAGAACTCTATAATGCGGATGATGATGTTGATACGTTTATATGATCTATTTCGAGTTTAATCAATCTACCATCACTATATGTGATTAAAGTAAAGATTTTTTTTAAGTTTTCTCGGTCCGACATTCACGTGAATAAATTTTAGATTTTTTTTCCCACCACTTGTATTTTGTATTGACTTTTGTTTTTTTTTGTTTTTTTTTTTTTTCATTTTATACCAGTTCTTGTAAAGTAGCAACAATGTAGGGTTTATTCGTGTTTTGCTTTTTGTAAAGGCAGTATTTGCTTATGGACTGGCAGAGTTGTTTTGGAAACTTCTTGCCTCTTTGTAAACACACTCTGACTTTTCAATCACAACCTTTGTAGTCTTTACAACAATTTTATATATGAGTGTGAGTTTTACAAAAACAGTTGTTAAGTCATTACCTATATTTTGTTCTTTTATTTGTCTTTTTTTTTTTTTTAATTATCTATTTGATATCAGAGCCTTGGAAGAGTTGGTAAAGAATTATGGTCGTAGGTTTTAATATCTAAATTTTTTATTCATTAGTGGAACCAAAATCTTTTTTTAAAAAAAAAAAAAGCATAAGGTGACGAGATGAACTATTTGAAAATATGTATTTATGAGATTTTTTTTTCACTTTTATTTTTTTTAAAAGATTGAAACTTATAGTATTTCTATTTTTTTTCAACAATAAAAAAATGTTTTTGTTGAACGCAAAACCTTTTGAGTAGTAATTTAATGTTGCCTTCTTTGGATGATAAGTGATACTCTCTCTGTCTCAGGAAAAAAAAATATATATCTTTTTTTTTTCAAACAATTTAAAAAAGTTATTAATTGTTTATCATATCCATATTTTTTGTTCATATTTTCTTAAAATATCATTTTTTTTAAAAAATTATTAGTTATCAAATTTAATATTGCATTAACTAATATTAATTTAAGGAGACATATATTCAAAATTAAGATAGAAAATCAAAAGAAAAATTGTTAAGTTAATTAACGATCAAATTTAAAATATTTATGAAAAAATTACATACTAATAGAAATATTTTGCTCTTTTAAAATTTTAGCATGTTGTAAAATATTTACACAAATAAATATTTTTCATGCAACAAAAATTTTTTTGTTTAAATTTTTTATATTACATTTATTTGTATGTATAAGGAAAAAATATAAAAATATATATTTTTTTAGTGAAAAATAGAAAATGAAAAAAAGAATTGATTTTATTTATCAATTAGAGAAATTTTTAAAAAATATATTATATAAAATTTTAATTAAATAAATATTTTGAAATAGATATAAATAGAAAGAAGGACATTCTTTTTAGAGAGAGAGAGAGTGAGTATCTAATTTTGTACTTTATTTATTTATTTTTTTGGTCAAGTTATTCAAATGTATATGGCGCATCCATATAAAAGAAATTTTATAATACTCAAGAAATAACTAGTGATCCGTATAGTATTTACTTCATGAATCTACTTGGAAGAGAGAGATAGTCACTAAAAAAGAAGAGAGAAACAAGAGATAAAATTAAAAAAAATTAAACAAATGTAAAATTTTTTTTATCATTTTTAATGGATCCAAATATAATTTTATGTGTGTATCTCTCTTCTTCAACTAGATTCATGAAATAACTACGATACAAAATTTATCTTTTTCATAAAATTTCTCTCAATGTACAAAAGTTTGTCATCTGCTGACCAAAAGTTGTTGAAATTACAAATATCGACCCAAACATTCCTAAAATCACCAAACTCACCTACACAAACTCTATAAAAGCTCAAAACGGCCCTGTTCGTTTCTGGATTCTACTACAGCAGCCAAGCAACCGCTTCTCACTCTATCTCCTTCCTTCCTTTTCCTTAGACAAAACCAGGAAAAAAAAAAGAAAAATCAAATTTCTCTTAAAACTAGATAGCCATGGATCAAGATACGGCGTTAGAGCTAGTCAAGCAAGGAGCCACACTCCTCCTCCTCGACGTCCCTCAGTACACTCTTGTCGGTATCGACACTCAGGTACTAGAGATATTCTCTGTTTAGTTACCGTGAAATCCAGTATTTCGAAGCTTATGTTAACGTGACTGACTGTGAGAAATTGCAGATGTTCACAGCAGGACCAGCATTTAAAGGCATCAAAATGATACCTCCTGGTCCTCATTTTTTTTACTACAGTTCTTCCACTAAAGACGGCAAGCAATTCTCCCCTATTACTGGCTTCTTCATTGATTCCGCTCCGTCTCAGGTTGGGTTTCTTTATCTTTTTTGTTTCATTGAATTGCTAATATTTTTAATTTCTGTTGAATTGTTAGATTCTGAAGTTTGTTCTTAGGACTGATTTTTTTTTGCGTTTTTTTTTTTTGAATGGTTATAAAAAGGTTGTTGTTCGTAGATGGAATCAACAAGAGGAACGCCTGGTGAAAGTTCCAGAAGAAGAGGTTAGTATTATTGTCCATGTTATATTTTGCAAAAATAGAGTGATTCCTTTTTTTTTTCCTTGGTTCGTTTGTAGTGATCGTTGTTCATAGTGATTGAAGAATTGTAACTCAGGCTTTGGTAATTGAAGAGATGTATTGCTCTTTGTATTGTATTTCTTCTCATCTATAATGAAACAACTTCTATAATTGAAAAAAAAGAAAAGAAAAACTTTGGCTGAGTTTGAGTTGCAATTGCTTTAACAGTTGGATGGATGTCTTGAGTTGTAGTGTAGTTGGCTTGCTTTCCCTTCCAGAATTCTTTGATGGTCATTCTTTTGGAGCTGAGGATTGTATTTTCCTTCCAGGGTTACAATGGGTTATATCTTATTTGCACCCCATTTACTTGGATAGTGTCCTTTGAGCTGTTGCTTAAAATTTCTGGTCCTTATCTACAGCAAGAGAAAATGTGTCATGGTTTTTCTCCTAAGCTTGCTTAAGTTGTCTTGGTTAGTTTCTTCTTTTATAAAGGTGCCTGGGTATATGAAAACTTGGTCCAGACTTGGAAAGATGTTCTGGAAGCTGTCCTGGGAAATCTGTATCTGTTGGTAAATTGTTGGAAACTGTTGAATTCCAAATGGAATGTTGTCATTGCTTGGTGAGGGAACATTTAAGGTCTTTGTTTTTTTTTTCCCCTTGCAACTACGCATACTTGCTTTATGCATGTATAGCAGACAATGTCAGATCAATGTTCATTTAAACCAATATATAGTATCTTGAAGTGGTTAATATTTTAAAATGTAAATTATTGACTAATTGGGTCGACTACACAATTTCTCCATCATAAGATAATGTCCTAACTTGTGTTTGGTTTCTCGTAGTTGATGCTTTCTCAATAATGTTAATGAAAACAGCATGATCTGTTACTACTAAAGAATCAATTCTACAAGGTGATAGGACCTGAGAGCTTTTGCATGGTTTAGTTTCCTTCAAGGATCTTTACTGTTTGCCCATACCTGCACAACTTTATCCCTGCTTTTAATTTGTTCAGGAACATTTACGGCTATACTATTAAGTAGTTTTTGGAGGAACAGTATTCAATCTATACATTTGTTTTTTGTGCAGAGAACTGACTTTGTTTTGTGTCATGTTTTTTCTTCTTTCTCTTTTTTGCTCACCCAGGAAGAAAGATTTTGCCAAGCAGTTAAAGGCTTAGAGTTTGACCGATATCTTGGTCCTTATAACCTTAGCCAGTATGGAGAATGGAAGCGCTTGTCTAGTTACATTACGAAGACTATCATTGAACGAATAGGTATTTTAGCTACTTGAAGTGCTATTTATTTAAACAGCTTACTTTGTTATCTCATATCAGGAATCTGTTCATGATTGCTTTCTTATGTTTCCATGCTTGATGCTTTTAACACTCCATTTTCATCTTCTATAATTGTTGCTATCTATTAGCAAAACTAGATAGGAAAAGTTCAGCACTGGATATAGGGATAGGTTGATGTGAATGGGAGTTTAGCTTCTTGGCTGTTAGTTGATGTAGAGAGCTTGGAGCTGTAAATCATGTAATAATATGTATTAATCGTAAGATTAATCACTTACGTTTAATGGAACAAAACTTTTCATCTGTCTATGAAATACTTACTGTGACTCAGCTAGTAGTGTTTATGACAGTTTTATTTCTGCATTTTGGTTGCATTCTGCTGCAAAGCTCTTCAATTATCCTGTTTCTTGTGAATTCATTGTGCACCTCCTCTGATAGTGAATTTCTCACAACTTGTTTATGTTGCATTGCTCGTTTAATTCACAGAACCAATTGGGGGAGAAATTACCGTTTCATGTGAATCTGAAATGGATAAAAACAGTCCTAAAACAGCAACAGAGAGAGCTCTAGATTCACAATTGAGGACTGGTAAGTTCTCAGCATCTACATCGGTTGATAAGTCCAAGAAGAGAGGATGTTATTACACTGCAATCCCTCGTGTTATTAAACACAGAGGAATGGAGGGGAAAGAACTTACTTCTTTGAATCTTGACAAGGTAAAAGGATTGGTTTGTATGGCTTCTGAATCATCATTGATCTTTGATAATTTAGATTAATCTGTTTCTTTCTTTCTTGTTCTTTCTTTCACAGACAGAATTACTAGAAAGCGTTTTGATGAAAGACTATGGAGGTTCTGAAGACTTGCTTCTTGGGGAACTGCAATTTTCCTATATTGCATTTTTGGTATGCACAGATAAATCCTGCATTTCGCACATTGATTAATTTATCATGTCTTAATGACATTTAAAAACTGTGCAGATGGGGCAGTCACTTGAAGCATTTTTTCAGTGGAAATCTTTGGTTTGCCTTCTACTGGGTTGCATTGAAGCTGTAAGTAATGATTTATTTCAGTTTCCCTTGATTGTAAATATTGGTCTGAGATTCAATTTGCTGTAATTACTTTGAAACTTTGGAAACTGATACGGATGCTTCTTTTCTGGCACTTTCTCATCCACATATTAAGATTGTGATGATTTCAACTACTACTTTCCATGCTGAGCCCTGTGCTTCATTCTTCTCTCTCTCTCTCTCTCTCTCTCTCTCTCTCTCTCTCTCTCTCTGTGTTTTCATGCGCATTTCCTTTGAACTTTCTTCGACACTCTTCCTAGTCCTACTCCATATCATATCCTGTGAGCTGAATCCAATGATTTTATGCTATAATGACCATGGTAAAGAGCTGCAATTGTGAAGGCTTGAGCTAAGGTGTTCTTGCATTTTTTTTTTTTTTTTTTTTTTTTGCGGTCAATAATTGAAAATTACAACTGAGTTGCATTGAAGCTGTAAGTAATGATTTATTTCAGTTTCCCTTGATTGTAAAATATTGGTTTGAGATTCAATTTGCTGTCATTACTTTGAAACTTTGGAAACTGATACTTGATTTATTTAATTATCCATGTGGACACTTCTTTTCTGGCACTTTCTCATCCACATATTAAGATTATGATGATTTCAACTACTACTTTCCCTGCTGAGCCTTTTGCTTCTTTCTTCTCTCTCTCTTTGTGCATGCGCATTTTCCGTTGAACTTTCTTCGACACTGTTCCTAGTCCTACTCCATATCATATCCTGTGAGCTGAATCTAATGATTTTATGCTATCAAGATCATGGTAAAGAGCTCCAATTGTGAAGGCTTGAGCTAAGGTGTTCTTGCTATGTTTTTGCTGTCCATAATTGAAAATTACAACTTGTGCAGTAATTCAAAGAGGTTTAGATTAGATTACACAATGAGGCATATATACCAGAGCAATACTGTATATATGCACTTAACCATCTCCCTAGATGGTAAACTTCTGCAGCAGGTGTTGGTATATGGTGGTATAGTACATCACAAATGAAACAAGTATTGTACATGTTTTGGTGTTTGGTGCAGCACAGCAAGCTGCAATATCTCCTGTGTATTTCTCATTTAATATCACTTTCTTTAACCATTTGCCTCTGTCTTTTGTGGTTTCTTGCTGATTTTGTATGATATACTACTCACCATTCTTTAATACAATTACGATTTACGATCTTTAATTTATGGTGAAAGCATGCTGGTGGCTCAGTAGTGGAAAATTTCTTGTTCGCATTTCTCTGTCGCCTTTTCCTTCTCTTCTCTAAAGTTATAGTTTCTTCTCTTTTTAAAAGCACATCTTTCGTTTCTTTCACTTTCAATGTTCTATAAGTGCTTGGTTATCTTGTAATTAATGCTATACATAGTTTTCACACATCACCCTGATGATGTTACTTCATTCTAGCTTTGGATTTAGTGTTATGTGTTTTCTAATGTCAGTGCTTTTCTGTTCTTTTTTACAGCCTTTTCGTACAAGGAGTCATCTTTTTACTAAGGTAATATTCTGAATGTTTAGTTGTTTTAAGTGTTTCTTTATATCATTACATGATCATGGTGCTTTTAAAGTTAGGTAACTGAATAATACCACCTCAAAAAAAAAAAAAAAAAAAAAAGACGAAGATGGTTGTTAGCGATTAAACCCCAACTAAAGAGGCTTAATTCAGATACCTAAATCTTTTTTCTGTAATTCTTTTCAAAATTTGATTTTTTGTTTTGTTATCACATGGGTTTTCATTTCTCCTAGTCTTGATAAAGATAGTGGTTATACTTTTTATCATTGACTTACTTGACTCATTGAAACCTGGTGGCTTGACCTTCTTTTCCCTCAACTCCTTACTTTTATTACCTTTTTGAAGTTCTCCAGTCAACTTGACCAATTGTTTAACTATATATAATGAAGCAGCTAGCTTGGTTTACAGGATAAAGCTTGCTGGTATATCTGTTTTTTTGTGATCATGCTGTTAATATTTTGGTGCCTGAGTTGGTATTTTGTATAGTTGAAATTTAAAACATTATACATCCACTTTTAGTCATGTGGATTATATTCTAACTGATACTGGCTCTTATGAATTTCACACAGTTCATCAAGGTCATCTTCTATCAACTGAAATACGGACTTCAGAAAGATAGGACAGAAACTAGTGGTGCAGGAATGGCGGTATCATCATTGTTGGACGAGTCATGGTTTTCTGCTGATAGCTTTTTGCACCGACTGTGCAAGGTAGCTTTTTGCATCAAAATTATCATAAACTGGGTTCTATTGCCACATAGAAGAGGCTTTTCATGATTGAATTATATTGCACTGTTTAAGTATGCTCGTCTGCTAATTAAGTTCCTAGACATTTCATTGACATGGTGAATTGGTTGCCTGCCATGCAACTTCTTATACAACCAGGCCACAGAAGAAAAAGAAAACCTTAAAGCAATTTCAAATCATTTATGTGGCAATGATTACATCTTGTTTTAGGAGCGACTGATTGATTTATGGCTCAATGGTCGCAGGATTTCTTCTCGTTGGTGCAAGATGCCACTGTGGTGGATGGAGATCTTTTGACATGGGTTTGTACATTAAACCCATCTTTCCATATTTAATTTGCGTTTTTTTACATGTCAAGTGCATATTTATAGCTCAAAGTTCTATTTTGAAACATTTTTTCATAGAAAATTTAGTCTGGCCTTCTTTATGTTAGAAACTTATTATAGTTATGAGTTTTGATCAATCAAGTGCAAACCTCTCTTTTTTAGTGAGGTATGTACTTCAAATCTCTGCATTGACATCAATATTTAGCAAAGTCATCTGCCCATGCTTGCAGTTCTATTCTGTTTTTCTCCCACTAATATGAGGATAGTGTCCATCTCGAATTCCTTATTTATTTCCTGAGATGTTAAATTATCATGTATATTTGGCTTGATATGGAATTCTCTTCCTTTTGCATGAAGAAATCACTATATCATTCCTTTTGACCATCTGGTAGAAAGTTTCCAATGTTCTGTCCATTAATATGCTGCGCTTGTTCTGCTTATGTATTGAAACCTTAGATTAATGTGTGCTCCTGGATATGCTTCATTAGATTAGATGTAAATTTATTGCAATCTATGGTTTAATTTCATTCCTGTATTTACCACTTCTAAATTTCGATGAAATGGATGATCTGATGCTGGATGAATGAATGGAGGAATTACTTGCACTCGTGTACTTGCAGACTAGGAAACTCAAAGAACTGCTTGAGAAGAATCTGGGATGGGAGTTCCAGCAGAATAGTGCAGTTGAGGGCATGTACTTTGAAGAGGATGATGAGGTCGGTTTATATGGTCATGACATTTGGCACTCTCTCTCTCTCTGTCTCTCTCGTTTCTCTTGTCTTACTTCTCTTCCTTGCAGTTTGCTCCTGTAGTTGAGATGTTGGATGAGTCAAGCTTCAACGGAGTTCCAGCAGTTTAGCTTTTAGACTGGAAACATATACCTATCCAACCTGTCTCAACAAAAGTGGATATAAGCTAAGTTGTGCCTATGGCATATCTGAGATCTTCTGTTTCAACATTAATTTCATGCAAATCAATAGATCTTCTGAAATTACTCACTTTCATGTCAAAGTATTAGCTGGCATGTTTGTCACAGACAGTCCAAAATTTCTCCATAAATTAGTTATTATGAAAATTTGTAAGACTTGGAAAATAGGACCTTGTACAGTTACATTTTGGTGATGGTCTTCACTAATGGATTTTGCATAGCTAGTTTTGCTCTTGAACTGATTTTAGAATCTAATTTGATATCACTTGTCTTGAAAGGGCTGGAAACTGTTAGAAATCTGGTTGGAAAAACAGAAGATCAGATTGGATTATGACAGCGAAATACCTCAGATGTGTATTACTAAAACTTGGTACATCTTTTTTCCTTTGCTGCAATTTTGCTCGGATAGCTATAAGTATCATAGTTTTAAACATCAGCGTTATGGTTGTCCCCATGCTGTTTCACATGTATAATGAAAAATAACGACTCTACTGTTATGTAATGCCGTTATTTGCTGTTATGTAACGGCATTACATAGAAAACTCTGCCTTTGCAGTTTCCTGAAATCTGGCCTCCTTTTGCTGTAATTTCTGTGTGCGCACACATGATGTTTAAGTGACAGTGATGAAATTTCTGCCTTTGCCGTTTGTGTACTGTTGTCATAAAGTGTTGAGTTCTTGGTTGAGACTGGTCACTGAGAAGGAAGCAAAAGAAATTGTTAAAGAAGAGAGGAATCTTGAATTGATACGACTATATGAGAGGGAAGCAAAAGAAATTGCTACAGAAGAGAGGAATCTTGAATTGATATAGGAATACGGTGGGACTTCCTCTTTTATTTAAGTGACGGTGATGAAATAATGAATTACAGCTCACGGTTCCACACCCCACGTGGTTTTATGCGTTTTCAGCAATTTTTTTCTCTGCTTCTACAAGCTTGTTGTAACCTTGAAATAAATAAATAAAAGCTAGACGAGACGAATCAAGCAAACTGAAATCAATCAAATGTATGGACTCTTGTATGAAATCAAGCAAATAACCCATGAAGGAAGTTTAATAGATGATTTCAATGTCTTAGATAAATTATCTTGTCAATTTGAAAAAAAAAAATACACCCCTCACTTTTGGCTTAGTAAAAATATTTTGTTAATTTCAATGTTAGTTTTACTTCATGCCTTCAACACTGATATAAATCATCTATTAAACTTCCTTCATCCAACCTTAACAGATAATTTAAGACATTACATTTGTTTTTTATTTCATTATCTTACTAAATTACACTAAAAAAATTAGTTGTTTGCTTGTAACCTGGGGAATTGGTAGAGGTAATTCGAAAATCAAACTAATTTTACTATTTACGTTTTTTTGTTAATCTTTGAAATTAATAATTATTATTAATTTTATAGGTAAGGCATTACGATTTATATTAAATTGAGATTGAATTATTGTTGCTAACTCTTGTATTAGACATGCACTTTGTTATTTTTAATTTCTGATTAAATTTTGCTATTAGTTTTCATTAAAAAATTCTGTATGTATTTTGATTTTCAAAATTAGTTTTTTTCTTTTTTCAATATAACTATTGGATGTTATAGATGACTTATTATTAATTAACATAACTATTGAATAGTTTCAACTCCATTTTCTTAATAAACCACAAAAAAAAAAAAAACAACAACAACGATAATAATAATAATAATAAAATAATAAAAAAATAAATATCTGTTTGGAAAGTGGAAAATTTATAGAGGTAATTTTCAATTCAAACTAATTTTACTATTTTTTTTTAATTTTTGAATTTAATTTCTATTATTAATTCTATAGGTAATTTATTAAGATTTATATCAAACTGAGCTTCAATTATTGTTAATAACTCTTGTATTATACATGGACTTTGTTATTTTAAGTCAATTTCATCATTTTTTTTTTAATTTCAGAACAAATTTTGTTACTAGTTTTCATAAAATTTTTTGTTTCTATATTTTTATTTTCTCAATATAACTATTGAATATTGTAGATAACTTAATATTAACTTTTTAATTATATTATGAACACCTTTTTGAGCAAGTTAATTTATTAGAAGTGCTATCAAATATATTTTATAATAAATTTAATTATTATTATATAATATTAAATTATTAGAGATATTATTACTTATTAATATGTGTGTATAGTAAAACTGTTAAAAATATATCAATTAAAATATATTTTTTTGACAATTGTTAATATATTTATAATATAGGTTGTCACAATTATTATTTTTCAATTATAATAAACTATGATTTGGATCGCGATAGCTTTTCGAACTTAAATGTCATTTAAAGCTATGATAAGTATTGAGGTATAGCCAAGGCTTTCCAGGTTTGGTTTCTTTGAAACCTTCATTAAGTTGTGATTTTCAATTTATCTAGTTTGTCTACTTTGAGGGCACTAGCTTACCGGTTGATTTTGATGTACGACCGCATTTTAGTTGACATGTGATTAGAGCGGCTCGATTTACTTGGGATTTGCACTATCATAAATTCGAGGTTTATTTTTCTATTTTTTTATACTACGATGAGGAACTTGGGCCCACGCTTTTCGTGTGCAGATTCCACAAACGTTGTCGAACATGTGTATAGAATAGCAATTGTCAGTCGAAACAGGTCTCTTGGGTTGGTGGTTCTCAAGGACGAGGGGATGAGGATTTTTATACACTGTAGGGGTTGAGATTTGAAGTAGAGTCCTGAAAGCTCAGGTATGGATAAATAATATAAATTATATTTTAAATTTAACAATTTAAGTGTTTAGATAAAATAATTTTGTAATATAATATCAAAATCTTGACGATTACAAATTCGAATTCTATCATTTTTAATTTTTTTTAATTAATTAAATATAAGATAGTATAGATACAATTTAAGTTTTTAAATGAAAAAAATATCGTAGTACATCACATTTTGGGTTAGGATTTGACTATCCATAATTTGATTTGGAAATTTTTTGATTAGTTATTTCATCGATATCTCAGGCTTTGCTGTGGAGAATTCTGTCCTATTCTCGGTAACCTCTTGCTCTAAACCATTAATAGATTTCATCAAATGAAAGGCTTAATGCAATGAAGATATGATTATGGATGCAATTATCCCTTGTTTTTATTATTGGCTACTTTAAAAAAATAGCTCTCTCTATCAAAATTCAAGACGTGTAAATAATATTGGTTGACAAATATTTTGAACTAAAAAGGGAAAAAAATGTAGAGAAATTAAAGAATTACAGATTGCTATATTGCTACTAATAATTGCAGAGATACTTTTCATGCAAGTTAAAAAGAAAAAAAATTGGACTACTTTAAAAAAATTGATGAATACGAATGTTTGATATTTAAAATCAGAATGATTTCTATAAGTATTGTATTTTATAAGTAAATTAGTTGACTTTTGTTTTTTCCTAAGATGTATAGATAAATTTTAATTGGACTAACATAAATTTGGGGACGTAAAATTGGATTTTTTCAATATTTAGTAATTAATAATTGTTTGGAAATACGAAGCCTACATATTTTCAACATCTGATCGTGTTTGTAAGAATTAGCACATGATTTTTATTGATTATTTAATAATAAAGATAGTTTTTATGAAGGCGCTACAATTATATTACCCTCATTTACCAAAGCATGCAATAAAATTTAGGAATAATTACCAAAAAAACCTTTTTAAAAAAAAACTCTTATATCCAAGTAACCCATCAATTTATTTTTAAATCTTTCAAACCTCGAATAATATTTTTCTTACCAAAACACCTAATAGTTAACCTTCCATTTAACACTAATTAATTATTGGGTCTTTTGGTAAGATAATTTTTCTATTCTTAGTTTTGAGAGATTTAAAAAATAAATTGATAAATTTTTTAGATAGAAAATTTTTAAACGCTAACATTCGATCGTTTTTTTACTATATTAAAAAATTCCTTATATTAGAGTTTTTTTTTTCGTTGATCATTTGTTTCATTAATTATGAGATTAATTTTTATTATCTAGTAACTATAGCAATTGATGCAATTTAACTAATTAACATTAATGAAATGAGACTCTTTTTATTCTCTTGTAATTTAATCAAAAGGTTATCATAAAAAATAAGAAAAATAAGAATATGTATGATTATGAACATTAATGATTTCTTAAATCCTAATACATTGATAGGATAAAAAATATCATCGGTAATACTAGTTTTTAATTAATCAAAACTCAACATTTTTTTATCAAATAATTAAATTAAATTATAAGATGAATGTATAACATAGTTTAGTGCATTAATTAAATAAAACATGATCATCCATAATAGAAATACATATTTTGAAAAATAATGATTTCATTTAAATTAGAGATAATTACCAAAATAAATTCTAAAAAATCTTCTATCTAAAAAGTTCACTATTTTATTTTTAAATATCCCAAACACAAATGATATTTTTAAATCTCACAATCCCAAAATAATATTTTTCCTACCAAAACAACCAATAGTTAACACTAGTTACACTACTAGTGTAACTAGTGTTAACTATTGGTTGTTTTGGTAGGAAAAATATTATTTTGGATTTAGAAGATTTAAAATTAAATTTGTGAGTTTTTTAGATATAAAATTTTTTTATAAGATTTTTCTGGTAATTATTTCTAAAATTTATCTAACTATTTTATAATTTATCCAATTAATTCAGCTAGTTAGAGTAATTATTACTGTTGAAAAGTAAAGAACTATTACAAGTCATTATAAGTAATTAAAAATTATAAACACATTTAATTATTAAAAAAATATTCTATAATTTCATATATATATATATATATATATTTATAATTTTATAATGAGAATTTTTTTTAAATTAGTTTTCATATATTGAAACTAAACTCATTCTTTGAAATTATTTGTTTGCAACTCATTCATTTAAAGCTATACGGAGAATGCTTGTGAGTAAAAATGATAATCATCTATGATTATAATTTCACAAAATTCAAATAATTACCACAAGTACTTCAGAAATAATTTTTCTTCGTCATTTTGGGCTTTGGCTAAGATTACTTTAATTAATATTTCCTTAAACCTTGTTTTGTCCAAGTCAGCAATCCGCACGAAACTGCTGCCATCCAACTGTATCAAACCATCTCTACCGTCGATTAAGAAACTTCTAGAAACCTAATCCAACGACCGTTATTATCCATGTCAGCAATCCCTGTAAAATATCAGTAACCAATCACACAACAGACCTCCTCTATATATAATGAAACAACGAGAAACATCAACACAAAACGCCAACAACCAAATAATCTCTTATCCTCTCGTCCTCCGAAGTTCTGTGAAAATATGGCACCAAAAGCAGAGAAAAAGCCCGCCGAGAAGAAGCCGGCAGAGGAGAAGAAAACTGTGGCAGAGAAAGCCCCAGCAGAGAAGAAGCCGAAGGCTGGCAAGAAGCTCCCAAAGGAAGGCGGAGCAGCAGCAGCCGGAGACAAGAAGAAGAAGAGGGTGAAGAAGAGCACAGAGACATACAAGATCTACATCTTCAAGGTCTTGAAGCAAGTTCATCCGGACATCGGGATCTCAAGCAAAGCCATGGGTATCATGAATTCCTTCATTAATGATATTTTCGAGAAGCTTGCTCAGGAATCCTCAAGACTTGCTAGGTATAACAAGAAGCCTACGATCACCTCGAGGGAAATCCAGACTGCTGTTAGGTTAGTCTTGCCTGGAGAGTTGGCTAAGCATGCTGTTTCTGAAGGAACCAAGGCTGTCACTAAGTTTACTAGTTCTTGATTACCTATGTACTTGCTTTTGTTGATGTAGTTAATTGGGCTTTTTTCTTTTCTTTTTTCCTAGTATGCAGTTATGTATCTAGGGTTAGAGGGTTAGGGTTTCTGCTTGATATGTTCTATGGTAGAAATGAAATACAGTAGAAGTGTTATTATTAATTTTGTCTGGTTATTGTTCCAAATCTTAAAAGATTTGGGTAACGGGATCAGAAATGAAGAAATTCGTTGATTAAAGAAATATAAATGTTTCAAAAAAGGAACAAGACTGTTGATGGAATCTTGGAATCTAAAGGTGAAAAAGGAGTGTTTCACAGCAAAAGTAAAATGTCCGTTTACCCTTCAGCACGTCTCATCTCTATAATATAAAAATATTATTTTTTAAAATTTTTTTATGATACGTAATAAATAATTAATGATATGTACAGTAATTATTTTATAATAATTTTTTTATTTTTTATTTTTTTTATTTTTTTATATGTTTATTTATTTTTTTAAAATAAGTTTATGGAGTAATTATTGTATATATCATTAGTCATTTTTATGTATTATAATTTTTTTTAATTTTTATATTCACTTCGATTTTTGAGGAATTTTTAAGGATAAAAAAGCTGATTGTACGGTAGTTTTTTGAATTTACGACATCAAAGAAGTTAGTTTGAATGTTTTGTAATAATAAAAAGGTAGTTGGATAGTGCTTTGTAAAGTAGTCAGATGAGATTGGACGTAAGTTACAAGCCTAGTTATTGGCAACTATCATCGTTCTGAGTTAATAATCTAGATTTTCCAAGCCTTACTATGATCAAAGTTTGATGTTTATAATGCTGATTTTAAAATCAAGCATAAGATAAATAATAAAAGTAAGATTGTAAACTTTAAAGATACCTAAGACTGAAAAAAAAATTATATTTATCGATGATTTTTTTTAATAAATCAGGACTTGTTTTTTTATATATATGATTACGTAAAAAAATCAATATTATGAAGTATGTATATATTTTTCATTAGAAAATTATAAAATAAGAATTAAGTAATTAATTTGTAAGTTTATAATTTTATTGTTTATTTGTTACTGCTTACAAGTTATAGTTTAATAAATTTCAAAATTTGAGAAGTTTTTTGTCATTTATAAGTATTGTTCAATTCTATTGTTTTGTTGTTTGTATTTTATTCTCCTGATTGCGACTTGTATTTATAATTATACTATTCTTTGCAATACTTGAGGTTCTTTTACAATTGCATAAGTTGTCTTGCAATGTTCTATATTCTCCATTCTTGGTATTTTCATGCTATATCTGTGCCTACTCTCTTCCTAGTTCTTGGGAGGATCCATTTCTATAGTTTATCCTATAAATCAAAGACAACTACCCTATCCCAACTGTTTTTATATTTTAAAGAGCTCATGTCTCGTATATTTCTCATCCAAACACAGTAATTTTTCAATTTTTTAATGGGTTTTTCTTATGTGGTCCAACTTGCTGACCTGGGTTGAATTTTGAGCATTATAAAAAACATTAAAAAAAAATAAGTTTTTACTATTTATAATACTATTTACATACTCACAAATCATTATTTCTTTCACTATTTATGGCTTTTTTTTTGATACTTTGGACCTTTATTTTTATATATATATATTTTTTCAATTTCAAACTTCAATTGTATTATGATTTGATCTCATTTTATTTTAGTATTTTTTGTTAATTACATGTATTATTTAAAATTTACTACTTTAGTTTGTTATTTTTTTTAAATTCCCATCAAATTAATTTAAAATTATATTTATCGATAATTTTGATTTATTTTTCTATATGTATGGTTTTTGAAATAAATTTTTAGAACATGATTATTTTTTCTTTTGAAAAATAGATTTATATAATTTTTAAATTATAGTGACATAATTAATATATATAATTTATCCGAAATACATTTTGAGATTAAAAATGTATTTCAAATAATTTTTTTAAGAAAAAAACTCAAATTAGTTAATTAATAATTGAAAGTTAAAAGTGAAAAACTAAAAAGAGATGGTTGCAATTGGTTTGCAATTTACCATGTTAAACTTCTTTAGCAAGTTTGTAACATATTTTTCTAGAGAGATAAAAATCCTTCCTTCGATTGCTTCACTTGGATTCCAAGAAAATACTTCATAAGCCCTAAATTTGTCATCTCATATTTTTTCATCATCACATTCTTGAATTCTTCAACCATTTCAGCATTAGTGCTTGCATGTATTAAATCATCAACATAGAGATAAACCATCAAAAAATTTCTTTATTTTTTCTTCACATATAGAGATGCCTCGGTTAAACTTCTTTCAAAACCATTTTCATAAAAATGCAAGTCTATTTTGTTGTTCTACGCTCTCGAAGCTTGTTTTAAGCCATAAAGAGCCTCGCAAAGTCGACAAACCTTTTCTTCTTTTCTTTCCATTACATAGCCTTGAGGTTGCTCTACATAAACCTCTTAATCTAGTTTACCATTGAGAAAAGTCGACTTGACATCTAGTTGAAAAACTTGCAACTCGTAATTGAGTCGCTAAAGCAAGAACAGTTCTAATAGCTTCCATCCTTACAACGAGAGCAAATGTTTCTATAAACACTACTCTAGGCTATTGTAAGTAGCCCTTTACAACTAGTCTTGCTTTGTGCTTTTAAATGCTGCCATCATTACAACAAAAATCCATTATAGAGGCGAAATGTTTGAGGCATTTAAAAAAAATGCCTAAGGGTTTAATAATTTTATCTACACATCGGCTTATCCATAAACGAATAAGAGGCGATTGATAAAACCGCCTCATTTTAGCCACCGCCTAGCCCACACTTTTTTTCTTTCCTTTTGTTTTCCTTTTAGAGTTATGAAAAAATAAAAATAAAAATAAAAATAAAAACTACATTTTTTCACCCATCCCTTCGACTTCTATAAATGTTTTAGATCTATGTTTTTTCTTCTTCTTTCAATTTGATTATTTCATAAGAAAAGCACATTCTAATTGTGATTATTTAGGTTTTCTCTTCTTTTTTTTTTTTCTTCAATCTGTTTCATTAGGATTCTTCTTGTTCCTTTTCTTTTTCATTAATCCCAACTACATAAATCCGCTATTATTCTAAAAAATTCACCCAATTTTAGAGAGAATTGAAGCAACGGGTTGCACATCATTGGAAAGAGTGTTAATTTCATTCAAAACAAGACCGAGATTATTTGTTACGAGCTATCAAAATTTAATCGAGATTGAAGGCATGGAAGATATGAGAATAGTTGGGCCATTTTCTTGGGAGACTACCACAATTTAGCATATAATTTTGAGGTAATCAATGTACTATAAAAATAGTTTATCCGGGTCGTTTCATTTTCTTCGGATTTAGACCGTAATCGGTTTGTGATCGATGTTCCCTTTTTGTTTTTTATGGTTTCTTAAAATAGCAGAATTATTTTCTTTTCTTATAGGTTTGTCTCGGTATTCTTGTTTCCATAACGTGTTCCTTTTGGGCATTCGAACTGCAAACACTTGCTATAGATTTGATGGCTTGCATTTCTTCACACAAACAATACTCAAATGATGTGATTTTTTTCATATCAAAAGATATTGGTTATGTGTTTCCTCGACTTGCTACTTATATTTCCTTTGCTTTGAATTACTCGCAATTGTAAAATTTACGGCCATATGTTATAATATAATGTGGATGCTATTTTGCGGATATCACCTTGAAAGTTGACCTTTGTAAACCGAGAGGATGGTCTGTTTTTTTTGGCAAGAGTTCAGGTATGGTTTTTGTTATATATGTATATTATATTGACATTTGGTTTCAAAATGGAGAAAGGAAAGAAAAAAGGGGAGGAATTTTCCAGAAAGCAGCTGGTAGAAGCCATGCTGCTTATATCATTGTTAAGGTATTTTACTTGAGATTTGTTTTAATATATGCCTTCATCTGGCAGAAGCCATGCTTAAAATTAATTACAGTCTAGTGTTATTCATACTTCGTGAAAGAAAAACAGAGTATTTTTTTTAAATATAAATTCTTGAAAAACATACATATTATAACCATGTTCTTATATATATATATATAATGCGCAGGGTTCGACCCTAGTGAGATTTTTTATGAGATTTACGTAGTTCCTCTTGCAAAAAGAATGACTTTCCATGTAATATTTGATTTAAGTATTTGCAAGAGAAATTTATTTCCATGCAATATCTAACGCCCTTTAAAAAACCAAGCAATGACGGTTTTGTGAATTTTATGATTCTTTGACTTGGTCTTACTCTATCAGAAGTTGGGGATGACTCCTACCTTTTATAGTGGTCCACAACGACTTAATGTTCCATATGAAAAAGGAAAAGAACCGATTCGTTTAAGCTAGTAAACTACCTCAGGTTATCAAACAGTGCATTGAAAAGTAGAAAATTAATAGTCCTGCTATTTTCCAGTTTTTCCTTTAATTTTTGTTATCGTGCCGTTATTGAGAGTGCTTTGCTACTGGAGTTTATTGTTTAGATACTTATATGTATGAAAATTGCTTTAACAAGCCTGAATATGAAGACACGGTTCTTGATATGCGATAACAAATTGAAGAACGTAATCCTCTTGCTTTTGCTCCAAAGGTTGTTAAGCATGCCACCTACTCTCCAGCATATATGATGGTAATCTCCATTTTTAAAGTTACCCATCTTGCTTTTTAGCCTCAATTGGGAGTATATTTGAGGTGAAAATGATATACAGGAGGAAGGAAATTGGACGACACCATCCACATCTAGGCACAAAAGAGGTTACAATTGCAAGAAGTCAAAGAGTTCTAAAAAATATTGTGAATGTTTTCAGGTCTGTGTCACATTTCTGGCAATATAGGCAAAAGAGTTCCTAAAAAAATGTTGTTCCTTTCTCATTGCTTAGTTGGATTAAATTGATTTTACATAGCATTTTCAACGTTGATGTTATGATTTTTTTTGCCTTCGAATTAAAAAGGAAAAGCAACCAGCCTTCTTCAATTAGGATGGTAGATTAAAGATTGGAA